GGACGGACTCAGACAGGACGGGGGGCACAGTGGGCCCAGGGAGGGGAGGAGGGACTGCAGGGAGGGGGGGAGGGACAGCAGGGAGGGGGGTGGTACAGCAGGGAGGGGGGGAGGGACAGCAAGGTGGGGGGGAGGGACAGCAAGGAGGGGGGGAGGGGCAACAGGGTGGGGGGGAGGGACACGAGAGAGGGGCGGGAGCACCAGGGCAGCAGGGAGTGTTGGGACTGCCGGGACCATCGAGACAGCAGGCACGGCTGGTGCCGCAGACGCGGGGGACAGAGGCGGGAGTCCTTGGACAGAGGCCACGGCCACAGGGACAGCCCGCTTCACACGGTAGGACGGTACAGCTGCAGAAGGCGCAGCAGCCGCAGCTAAGGGAGGGCCAGGGGAGGCGCCTGGGGCGAGAGAGACGGGGTGCTCAGGAGGTGGGAAGGACGGATGGGGCTCGGGGGGAAAGGACTCAGGGTACCGCAGGGGAGGGGGGGGCAGCCCGACCACAGAGGGGTGGGGGTGAGGAGATCGAGGAGATAGTCATGGTCGAGGGAGGGGGTCAAATAGCAGGGGACCGAGCACGGGACGCGCCAGAGGCAGCTAGAGGGGCCAGAGGGGGTGTGGAGCTTGATCCCCGCCAGGGGATAGGGGCACAGGAGGGCGAGAGAGTGGCAAGGGGAGGGGGGACAGCAGGGGGGACGGGGGGGGGCGAGGGAGTGGGGAGGACGGGAGGAGCGGGGCAGGTAGATAGAGTGGGTTTGGAGGAGGGGATAGGAGAGGCAGGGGGGCTAGGAGGGGTAGGGGCAAGGGAAAAGAAAGGGAGGGTGAGAGAGGAGGACGAGGGGGGAACAATGGCACAAGGAGGAGGGGGACCAGGGGACACGACTAAGCAGCAGCCCACACTGCACCACAGCACAGCCGTACGCGTAGGCCGCGCAGGAGCACCCGCACGCATCCCCGACCTCACATGCCGCGACGCTGAGAAGGCACTCATGATTATTATAGACGTGTCGATAGCAGATCCACAGCGGGGTGGGAACGCACAGTTTTTGCGATCGGCATCCACACAGCGGTGGGTGGCGGCGACGAGGCAGGTGCAGGATAAGGTTAGGGACTGGCGGCCGGCCTTGGTAGGGGTGCAGCCGGAGACGATGTTCTATGCGTGCGTCGCTGAGACTTTCGGGCACTTGAGCGTGCCACTACGCGATTTTCTGCGGCTTTTCTCACAGCGCATAGCGACGCAGCGGCGGGACGCGGGTAGTGGGGAGGAGGCATCGGCTCGGATCTTTGAGTGCGCTCTCACCACGCGAGTTTTAGTGGCGTTGCAGCGCGCGCAGGCGAACATTATCACACAGCATGCTGTGCGACAGCTGGGAGAGTCGGACGATCCATGGATGCCGATACCGGTACCGCTTGGCGCAGGCAGCTGGAGCGGACATCACATTAGTGGTAGCTTTGACAGTGTGGCCGATATGCAGTACCTGTTTGATGGCTATGTGTACATCAAAACAAGAGTAGGCTGTGCTTGAAACGCTGTGTCTGCGCTGTAGGCGCAGGTTGCTGTTTTGTCGTGTCCCTTGGACCCCTCCCTCCTTACAGTCAAACCCCCCCTCTCTTCCACCTCTCTCACCTCCCTCTTTCTTTTCCCTTACTCCTATCATTCTTGATCCTCCTACTTCTTCTATCCTTCTCTTTCTTTCCCTCTCTTTCTACCTTCCCTTCTCAAATTTTCCTCTCTACTTTCTCTTCTCTTCTTTCCCTTCTCTTCCTAACTTCCAAAAACACTACTGTGGTCGTATAGTGTAATATTTATGCCGAAATTTCCAACTTCGGTTTCATATTGGCTATATGACTTGTAACTCTCTTCGTTATTAATAAAATAACTGCTCTCGCCCACAGCGCTTAGCTTCGGAGTTCTGATGGGATCCGGCGTAGTAGCCAAGGTATGATCGTACCACGCTGCTCAGACCGGACGCTCCTTACCGGACGGCCCCTGAGCTACACTGCCCTTCATTATAGTCACATCGCCCTAGCACGAGCTTTAAGGGGTCCTCTGTCCGCTGGCACCCCCCTGAACGACGCTCCGATGGTTTTAAGGGCTCCTCCGTGGCCCTGCTCCCCTCGGGACGGTGCGTTTCAAGATTTTTTTCCGGGCAGGCCCCGGGCAGTTTGGCGCTAAAAACATCCTTTCTTATTTCCCCTATCCGCCCCCTGCCGGGGAGCTGGCATAATAAATGGGTACGACACGAGGACTTCCCGGGAGGTCCACCTTGCCCAGTATTGCTCTCGCCCACTGACGCTTATATCTTGCTTACCTACCTACCTTCCTAAGGAGCCTTCTAGACGCTACTGTTCACGTTACTATTGCATAAGCTATTTTTAGCGTTTTTATCGGAGGTGTAACGGGAGGGTATCGGCAACGGCTACGAGCGGGTGAGACGGAAGCGTCGGCGAACGCGACCTTGTGGGGTCGATCAGTTTTTCGCCACCCCCGTCGATCTCGCCATCCCACCTTGGCTAAGTCCCCCGTCACTCTCGCTCGCCTCCCACTCTGCTCCCTCTCTCTCTCCTAGACTGCCGCGTCGTGCGCTTCTTAGCTTTCTTGTTTCTAATGCTTAGAAACGCTGGAGGTGTAGAAGTGTTTGGTCCATGCCCATACCCCTAGAGGATACGCTTGCCCCTTTCTCAGCAAGGCCGTACATACGACAGCAAGGCTCAGATGCTTCTCACCTCACTATGCTTGCCATTGGGAGATCTTAGTAGCACCTACGAACGTGCAAGCCTCTTTTATGTTGTTATATTTGCATTTCACCAACCTTGTTTATTCATTGACCAGATGTCTCTTTCCATGCTGTCCTATCGGGCTTCCAAACCTGGTTTGCCCCGTTTGAAATAGGTACCTATGTTTATAAGGATACTCATGTTGTTTCTTTGACAAATCACGTCCATATATATATGTATACAACATTAGGTGACTAATGCTTGTATCTGGCCCCTTTTGAATATGAGAAGGGAAACATTATTTTCCATTTTTATGACTTTTAAATTATCGAAAACTGGAAAAACGAATCGCATTATACATAACTGGTTCCCCGAAGTATCGAATCGAGTTAGTGACGAGAGTATATATATACATATATATATGTATACATATATCCGTGTGTGTATATAAATATCCCGAAGCATATTGCGTATAGGAATGAGGATGCGATAGGTTTGATGGTGGTGGGCCGAAACGATTTCTGGTGTGTACCCTTGGCTGAAACGCGATTTGCCGATGTGTCATCTCTAAAGTACGGAAAAAAAGAGCCACCCCCCCATCAGATTAGAAAACCCCGCTAATGTTGATTATTGAGAACTGTTCGTGATGCGTCAGATTAGAAAGATGTTGTTTTTAGGTTGCGAGAACTGATCAACACCGTACAGATCAGGCGCTCAAAGTTGCTGATCTATCAGCAAATTACAAATTTTTTTTCTAGGGCCCTGCATCTGGCTTGATATCGAAATATGACCCTGAATTTGTTTTTTTGGCGGTCAGACACTGGTTGGTAGTGGGTATTCGGCGTTTTCCGTTTCCAAAATAAGGGCATTTGTTATTGCGTTTAGATTGCCCCCCACTCTTCACTATTCCCAACTATTCTTGCAAGAAAGCTGGAATTCACATCAACCGGCGGTTGGCACGATTTCGCCCGCTGGGTGCCCTTTCCTAATTCCGTATTCCAGCCTTTCCTATTCTGGTGATTGGTACACACCTGTATTCCAGGAGGTTTGGTGTGACTAAAAAGGATTGTTTGGCTTTAAGCCAGTTCCGAGCCAGCCCTACGAAATTGCTCGACACCATCTTCGTTCCAGAATGCGACCAACCGATCAGGGCCATGGTGTGATAAGCCTAAATGTAGTCTTAGGGCGTGTGAGTTGGGGTATGAACAAGCCTCCAGTACGAACTTCTAGAGCGGTAAAATACAATTTTGGTAGGTTGCAGGCGATTAGAACCGCGGTACGAGTGGTGACGGTAGGAACTTTCGACAAAATTGTAAAAATTCACGCACCCTTAGCGGATCAATGCTATGGAGTGGAATACTGTGGCGACCCAGTTAATATTGCGAAACAGTAGAATTCTTGGCTCTCAGCAGTTTCGTGTGATCGGAACTATTCCTCTACGGCATCGCCTGCACACCATCGCCTTGCTGTTGGTCACGAAGGGTAAGGGTGTGAGACATTCTGTTCGGCTCACTTGACTCGTTCAGGTAACTGGTTGTCGCCAGCATCACGAAAAGCGTCACCAACAATCTTTCGCTAACAGGTGACAGATTCGGATAATTCAAAACCCGCACTCACGAACGACTGATGTTCGTAAAAGGAAGCAGCCAAACGCTGTTTGCGATGCGGACGAAAGAACATTTCGTCCGACAGCGAGATTTCGCGCAGGGCAGGATGTGGGGGAGTTTCGTGCAGCACGCTGTTGCGACATTTTGTTATCGTCGACACATAATTGGTGTCGTGAGGTTCGTGCCGCAGCGGAACATTTGTTCATTTTTTCAAATACATCGATTGTGAACTCTCACCAAACCTGCGAGAGTCCCCTGCGCACTAAAAGTTCGAAATATTTCAAAATCAGGGCAGAGTTGGACCGTGTGTCAGACGGTTGGTACAGGGTTTGCGCGCTGACCCGCGGGACAGTTCGATCTAACGGCCACTGCGCGAATGTTGACGCCAGGACCTCCGAAAGTGTCGCCAGGTGGCACTAGCGAGGTCATGCGAGATTTGCGTGGGGCATTTCAATTGGATCAGTTCGTTTCACGGATTTTGTTCTGTCAACGTATGCGACACTGAACCTGACTGGTAGACGCGATTTTCACCGGTTTGAGAGAGCGGGAAATATTGCCGCCAGCGTTAAACTCCCCTGACCCCTGGGCAGTATGTGCACGGATCATGTAGGGCTGTACCGCATGGTTGCCACGCGGTCTAACTGCGCCGTCAGTAAAATGTCTCAGTAGTAGTAGTTTTCGGTGAGCGACTCCGCTATCTCAGGCGGAACTAACGATGTTTCATTTTCCTCAGAATCATGCTCGGCGTGAAACTGTGGGGGACCTTTCCAGTGTGCTGTAGCCGTTAATTAGGAAGTCAGTGATGTCTTTCTCGAATAAATTCGACTGAGGATGCCCGTTCTGATGCATACGTACTAGAACGATCATTTTTAGGTTCAAGTGACGCGATCCTTACCGAATAACTACTAATACCTCCCGGCGCTCTAGTACAGCCTACAGAACGACGCTCCCGTTGCTCTCCCCTTGAAACCCTAACTCCGTAAGACGGAATGTCGTGCCCGCAGACGGAACCATTTCGAATTTGTTGGTCCTAGGTCGTCGCAATCTCACTGGTAGCACAATGCTGATAGTGGCATATGATTCTGCTGAGATCTTTCGTAATGAGAAGAGATAGCCCGTATTCTAGCCAGAAAGCGTAATCCGTCACTAGTTTGATCACATCCGACACCATAGTATCGGCGACATGTCTTTCAGTGTGAAATTCCGAGTCCCAGTCGATCTTATTCCACGCGAATCAGGCGAGCCCAGTAGCGAAGGGACGACGAAATGCAGCAGCTGCAGTGACGTCACCAGCAGGTTCGTTGACAACCGTACCGAAAACAAGCCATCCGCGTCATCATCATCTCACGAGGTCGTTCCTCTCGCTGTTTCTCCAAATGAGTCTCTCAGATCAGTCTTCAACAGGCTGTTTCAGTCCCACCTGCCAGACTGCTGCCTGCCATGCGAGGCACGTCAGCAACAGGGAGGGGGGAATGGTGGGAAAGCGCCCAGAAAAGCCTCAGCTGATGGGACGCAGCCGGTCCGTTTCATGGTGCTTGGTCAGGTGGTGTACCTCTCGCCTGACTCCACTGTGGAGCAAGCCAGTCTCAAATCGGGTTCCACCGTCAAAGTGCTTCCCGTGAAGTCAATGCACGAAGGAATTGATAAGGGCAAGGGCAAGGGCAAGCACGCCGTTCATGCACCGCAGGGGACGGATGCGCCTGCTGCTGCAACTGCAACGGCTGTGCCTCTTCCTGCTGCTGCTGCCGCTCTTCCTTCTTCTGCTGGTTCCACTGCTGAACCTGCTCCTGCTGCTGCGCCTGCTGCTGCGCCTGCTGCTGCGCCTGCTGCTGCGCCTGCTGCTGCTCCTGCTGCTGCTGCACCTGCTGCTGCATCTGCTGCTCCGCCTGCTGCTTCTACCGCAACCCGCATTGGCTACAGCAAGTGGGACCATCTGGGGTCCAGCAGCGAGGAAGAGGAGGAGAAGTGGGATCATCGCAAGGCCAGCAACGACGAGGAGGAGGAAGAGGAAGAGGTGGAGGAGCAGACCCAGCCAGAAGGAGCTGCTGGAAGAAGCGTTGGAGGAAAGGGGAAGACCGAGGCCTCTGGTGCTGGCGATCCGGCACCCAGACACAGCGGCATTGATTTCTCTTCCCTCAAGTACGGCACTTGCTCAAGCGGACTCCCGCTGAACACAGGGAGCAGCAGCAGCAAGGACGAGGAAACAGCCCCAGAGAAGCAGGTTCGAGCTCCAGACAGCACAGGGAACGGGAGTGGAGGGAAGGCAAAGGACCAGAGTGGAGGGATAGAGGAGAAAGGGGGTGTTGGGAAAGGAGAAAGAGGGTCGGAGGAGGGTCTTCAGGTGCTGTGCCGGGCGGACATGGTGCACTACCTGGACGTGAGGGGCGGGTGGGACGTGGCGGCCTGTGAGAGGTGCTTTGAGCGCGCAATCAGCGCTCAGGCGAAGCAGGCCCTGTGGGTTCAGGACCTGGCGGCCTTCCGCTTCAACCTGCGGCAGCAGGAGGACAAATCCGTCCCCTTGGTGCCGCCAAACCCGCTGTTAGGAGGGAAACTTGGGGCGATTGAAGAGTACTCCTCCAGGGTACCGGTGCCGGAGCGGCTGCTAGGAGGGAGACGAGGGGTGCCGGCTCGTGAGCAGTACAAGTGGAAGTGTGAGCGGGCGCCTCTGCTTTGTGCCGAAACGATGCTTCCAGAGTGGATGGCTGAGCCTCGCGTGGGCGTGCTCATGGACCTGGGGAGGATCAGAGCCCGCCTGCCGGCTATTCTGGGTGAGAAAGGTCCCGCTGCAAAGTCCCCTGGTGCTGCTGCTGTCGCTGCCCCTGCTCCTGCTGCTGCAGGTTCTTGCGCTTCTGGAGCGTGGTGTTGCTGGCGCTGCAGCAGCTGCTGGGCTGCCTACCGCCGTGCTGTCAACTTTGCTGCGTTCCTCGTGCTTGTAGCGAGGCGCCCCCGCCTTGTGACTCTATGGAAGGCCCACTCGGACTCTGACTCTGCAGTCTATCCGGCCGTAGTGGCTCAGCTGGGGGCGGTCAGGCAGGAGGAGGAGGACCAGTTTGCTTCCCTCCTGGTGCAGATCCTCGGGGTGAAGGAGAGTGCTGACCTCAAGGAGGGGTTTGGGTTCTTTGTGCAGAATCTGCTGTCAGGGGGGATTCGGGACGATGGGGAGGGGAAGGCAGGGGGAGGGAGGAGTAGTGTGAGGGGGTCTCCAGAGCACATGGTGGAAACATTTGAGGCTCTGGTGGGGATGGTGAGGAGTGGGGTGCCGGCTGATGATATGGTGAGCAGCATGATGGGGATGGTGAGGACGGAGGGAGGCATGCAGGGACTGGGAGCAGAGGCGGTGGTATGCATGCTGGAAGGGAGTGCGGCTGGGGCAGGAAGGGAAGGCAGCCGTGGGAGGGGGGATGAGGGGTGTGGCGATGGTAGCAGGGATAGCAAGGGCGGGGAGTGGAGGGAGCATCTGAAGGGGCCAGTGTGGGAGAGGTATGTGGAAGGGATGGCTGGGATGTTGAAGCATGGAGGGGGGGAACGGAGGGATTTCAGGTGCAACCATTGCAGTGACGGCAGCAGCAGCGGCGGCGGCGGCAGCGGCAGCGGCAGCGGCAGCGGCAGCGGCAGCGGCAGCGGCAGTGGCGGCAGCAGTGTGGAAGGCACTGGCGCTCCCAAGGGCATGTATGTGAGTGGCGTGGGCGCCACTGACTTTGCCCTAGCGTTTGCCACAGTCCTTTCCAAGCCAGGGCTGCGCAAGGAGTGGGAGGTGTACGTTCTGGACCACGCCACGCCACCTAAAATAGTCCCTCTGCACGGCATCGTTTTTCACGATGCCCTTTCCTCCCCCGCTAAGCGTTCGACATTAGGTAAGCACCCACGTCATTCCCCCCCCGTCGAATTACCGCACCCTTCCTGTATTTCCTGCGCAAAACTAGGTGAGAACCACGGCTGAGTCTGACATCGCGGTTACCATTTCCTAGCCCGCCGTTCATCTCCTTCCCTGCCCGCCGTTTTCCAGCCGTTCCTGCCCGGCGTTTCCCCCGTCCTTGCTCGCGCGCCACCCCTCTCTCCCAGCACGCGTCACTCCCTTCCCTGCTCGCCGTCCGTCCCTTCCCTGCTCGCCGTCCATCCCTTCCCTGCTCGCCGCCCCCCCCTTTCCCTGCTCGCCGTCCCCCCCTTTCCCTGCTCGCTGTCCCCCCCTTTCCCTGCTCAACATCCCCTCTGCCCCTGCTCGCCATTTCCCCCCCTGTCTAGCTTGCCGCTTCCCCCTTTTCCCCAGCTCGCAATTCCCCCTCTCCCCAGCTCGCCACCTCGCCCTCTGTCCAACTCGCCGCTGCCCCCTTCCCCCCAGCTCGCCGCTTCCCCAGCCCCACAGCTCGCCGTTTTCCCCCTGCCGCTGCTTTTCCCCACGTTGCCCGCTGCTTTTCCACCCTTGCCCGGTACATCTCCCCCCTCTGCCCGCCGCTTCCCCCCTTGCCGCTGCTTTCCCTCCCTCGCCCGCTGCTCCTCCCTCTCGCCCGCTGCTGTTCCCCCTTCTTTGCTCGCTGTTTCTCCCCTTTTTGCCGCCGTTCCCCCCCCCCTTGCCTCTACTCTCCCTCCCTTGTCGCTGATTTTTCCCCCCTTGCCTCTTGCTTTTCCCCCCTTGTCCATAGCTTTCCCCCCTAAGCCACTGCTCTGTCCCTCCTAGCCCGCAGCTTTTCCCTCGCATGCCCGCTGTCTTTCCCCCTGTGCCGCTCATTGTCCCCCCAATGCCCGGTGCTGGGCTGTTTTCCCCCACTTGCCCGCTGCTTTTCCCCCCTTGCCCACTGCCTTTCCCCCCCTCGCCCTTGCTCTTCCCCCCCTTTCCCGCTGCTATTCCCCCCCCCGGACGCTGTTTTCCCCCCCTCTGCCCACTGCTCTTCCCCCCTTGCCCGCTGTTTTTCTCCCCCTTGCCCGTTGCTTTTCAGTCCCTTGCCCCTGCCTTTCCCCTTTTGTCCGCTGCTTTTCCCCCCTTGTCTGCGGCTTTTTCCCCCTTCGCCCGCTGCTTTTCCCCCCTTCTTTGCCCGCTGCTTTTCCCCCCTTGCCCGTTGCCTCCCCCTCCCTTGCCCCTGCTCTTCCCCCCCTTACCCACTGTGTTTCCCCCCTTTGCCCGCCGCATTCCCCCCCTCGCCTGCTGCTTCTCCCCCCTTGCCCGTTGCCTTTCCCACCCTTGCGCGCTGTTTTTAACCCTTTGACGCTCCTCTTCCCCCCTTGCTCGCTGATTTTCCCCCCCTTGCCCGCTGCTTTACCCTCCCTTGCCCCTGCTTTCCCCGCCTTGCCCGCTGTTATTCGCCCATTGCCTGCTGCTTTTCCCCCTGGTCCACTGCTTCTCCTCCCTTGCCCGCCGCTAATCCCCCCCTGGCCTGCTGCTTTTCCCCCCTGCCCGTTTTGCTCCCCTTTTGGTCCCACCCATCCTTCGGTCCTCTCTCCCCCCCCGTTTTCCCCCATTTTCTTCGTGTTCATCCCTCCCTTCCCCCCTTGGTTCCCCACTCTTATCCCCTCCCGCGTTCCCTACTGTCCCCCGTTTCTTCCCCCTCGTATTCTATCCTGCTTTCCTCTCTTTTCCCCTTGTTTCCCCCCTTCCTTCCCCCTAGCCCTCTGCTTTTTCCCCCATTGCCCACTGCTTTTCCCCTCCTTGCGCACCCCTTCTTCCCCCGTTACCCGCTGACTTTCCCCCCTTGCCCACGGATTTCCCCCCTCCTGGTTTTCCCCCTTGACACTGTTTCCCCCCCCCCCCCTTGCCTCTGTTTTTCCCCACTTCCCCTGCCCGCCGCTCCCCCGCTCCCCTGCCCGCTGCTCCCCCGCCTCCCTGCCCGCAGCTCCCCCGCTTCCCTGCCAGCTGCTCCCCCCTCACTGTCCCTGCCCGCTGCTCACCCCACTTTCCCTGCCCGCTGTCCCCCCGCTTCCCTACCCGTTGCTCCCCCGCTTCCCTGCCCGCTGCTCCCCCACATCCCAGCCCGTTGTTTCCCCAGCACGTCCCTGCCCGCCGTTCCCCCGTTCTCCGCCCGCCGTCCCCCCACTCCCCTGCCCGCTGTTCCCCCCAATCGCCCACCCGCTGTCCCTGACTTCCCCGCTCGCCGGTCCTTCTTTGCTGCTGCTTTTCCCCCTTGCCGCTGCTATCCCCCCCCTAGCCTCTGCTTTTCCCCACTTCACCTGCCCGCCGCCGCTCCCCCGCTTCCCTGCCCGCTGCTCCCCCGCTTCCCTGCCTGCTGCTCCCCCCCACTTTCCCTGCCCGCTGCTCCCCCCACTTTCCCTGCCTGCTGCTCCCCCGCTTCCCTGCCCGCTGCTCCCCGCTTCCCCCACTCCCCCCAGGTCCCCCCCTTTTTCCCCACCAAGCTTCCCCATATACCCCCTCCAGTTTCCCCCTAGTACCTCCCTGTCTCCCCCACCCCTCTTCCCGGTTCCTTGATATCTCCCCCACTGTTTCCCAGGAGTCTGCCCTCTGTTTTCCCCATCACTCCCCCCGTGCCCACGACTCTTCCCCGTCCTTGTCCACTGCTGTTCCCCCTCCTTGCCCACTGCTTGTCCCTTCTTGCCCACTAACTCTACGCACTTGCCCACACATTTTCTGTCCCGGCCCACGTGTTTTCCCCCCGTGCCCATTGCTTTTCCCCCGTGCCCACTGCCATTCCCCTCCTTGCCCCCCACTTTTGCCCACTATCGTTCCCCCTCACTGCCCACTAGGGATGAGCAAACTACCCGACCGGGTCGGGTACCCGGTACCCGGACCCGCTTTTAGGGCGGATCGGGTATCAGAAATCCTGGATAATACCCGGCGGGTCGGGTCCGGGTTACCCGGGGCGGGTATTCGATACCCGCTACCCGGAATTCTACCCGATGACGCGGGTAGCGGGTACCCGCCGGGTCGGGTATTACATACCCGAGTTCGGGTAAATACCCGAAGTCGGGTCGGGTATACCCGACCCGAAATCGGGTCGCGCTGCTACCCGTCGGCAGCAGCGCGATCAAAATTGGGAAGGGTTGGAAATTTCGACCATTTGGTCGAAATTTCTTCCCCAACTTTTGAGATCTAGTTTCGTGTGGTCCCTACTGTACTCGCGCCACCTAACTACACTGCCCGCATTTGTCAAAAAGCTTCCCGCACACTAATTCGTTTTTTCCCGACATTACGTAGGGCGGTTTTACAGTACGGAGGAGAGGACTTGGTTGCGCGGGGGGGTTAGGGTTTTGGAGATCTAAAGTTACATGACCTATTCGCCCACGCGAAATCCTTGCCGTAACACATAGTTTAGGGTTCGGAACTACGACCGTGACGGGCGTCCAGTCCCTTTCGGGGGCGGGAGGGTCGAGGGTGGCGGTAAGCCTGCAAACAAATAGCACTGGTTTCGGATTCGAATTCGGTATTCGACAAATAGACATGGGCATGAGCCGAGCCTGGCTCGGCTCGGCTCGTTTGGGGTCGAGCCGAGCCGGCTCGCCGGTCGAGCCGGCTCGGCTCGCCTCGAGCCGGGACCTCAAAATCCCCGGCTCGGCTCGTCAGGGGGGCTTGTGTAACCTCTCAAGAAGGCCCACTGTTTTTGGGGACTCTAGTCCAGGGGATGTGCCAGATTGTGATTGTGAACAACTGCTGCTCTGTTTGGGGCGCCAGTACAAGTCTAGGTGAGCTAAAAAGTCACAATAATTTAATTCAGTACCATGGAATGGAAGTTAAGAGTGCCCCTTTGCCAACAGCATGTTCTCAGCGCAACCAGATGCAAGCTAGCAACCACCCGACCACATGGTTTAGTACGCAGCCTACAGCTCCTCCACCCCGAGCTTCTCCGTCTCTTTGATCCACCCTGGCTTTAACAGGGAGACACCAGGGTGCGTGCAAGTCCATGACTTGAGTGTCATAGTGGCTCGCACGCTCTCCCCAGACAACCTCTGCCTATGGCGGGTGATCACATTTCGGCTCTGACTGAAAACACGCTCGCTAGCTGCCGATGTTGCTGGTATGGCCAGGTAATCCCTGGCCATAGCCTGCAACACCGGCATATCAGACCTCTCGCGCCAGTACGCCAAGGGGCAACCGTCATGCAACTCCCCCTCAATGTAACGATCCACCTCATCCCGCACCGTGGCCCCCCGTCGTGCGGAGCGCGCTAACAGCTTGGCGTGGAGAGACTGGCTCAAGCCACCCCGCACTGGTATACCACTAGCATCTCCACCCTCAACCCCCCCCCCGCCAAGCCCCCCCCCCTCTGCCCCCGTCCTGTTGCTGTGCCGCCTGCTTCAGCCGCTTACTGTACTCAGCAAAGCGAGCCCGTACAAGGGTCAGCACCTCTGACGGCTTGAAGCTCGCCACAGGCCTGCCCTGCTGCTCCTCCTCCCCCTCCTCCCCCTCTCCCCCCTCCTCATCCTCCTCGTCCTCCTCGTCCTCCTCGTCCTCCTCGTCCTCCCCCTCTGCGCCCTTCTCTGAACCCATCTCCTCCTCCCCCCTCCCCGCACCAGCGGCACGCACAACTAGCGCGCGTGAAGACCCGGCTAGTCCGCTTTCCACGCCCACCCCGTTTGCCCCCTCTCCCTCTCCCCCAGAGCGGGTGTCCGTCCCTCCATCCACCTCGAAGAACACCAGCCTCATGCCGGGGTTCAGAAACGTCGCCACCACGAGCTCATCGCTGCTGCTGCAATAGTACCGTTCCAGCACGGGGAAGGCGACGCCAACGAGCTGACGGCCGATGAGGCGGGGCGATGGCCATGCCTGCAAGGTGTCCATCAGTTCGTTGAACTGTGGCACAACAGCAGATGATGTGGGGTAGGAAGAGCCCTCGGCCGCCACCGTGATGGAACTGAACGGTGCCAGGAACTCCGCCAGGACATCCAGCGTGTCCCAGTGCGCGTCGGTCAGGCGCAACGCGACGTACTTCGCGCGCTCTTCAGCCGTCTCTCCCTGGGAAGTGAGCAGGGGTGCATGGGGGGAAGGGGGGGGTTGTGGGGATACCATGGGTGTGGCGGCATGGAAGGAAGTGTCACACAAGGGGTGCGTAGTAGCATAGCATCCGTGCACGCAATGGAAGCAGTGGAGTGGGCTTTTGTAAAGAGGGTACCTGCTCCACTGCGAAGTGCGCAGTGAGGGATCGGCGGAGCCGTAATGCACGCGCGACCATCTCGTGCGTGCTGCCCCAGCGAACCTCGCTGTCCTGCACCAGGCGGAGGACCGTCCCTTTGAGGACGGGGTCGGACCGCTGCTGCGCTTCAAAGTCGCGCGTGCGCCTCTCACTCCATCCCACAAAGGTGGCGATGTCGCGTAGGAGCTTCAGCGGCACCCTCACCGCTGGCAGCTTCAGCGCACGCTGGACTGCAAAGTTCAGGATGTGCGCCAGGCAGCTGCATGTTCCAAGGCGCACAGAGGGGGGGGGAGAGAGGGGAGGGAAATCCTTAAGGACCCTCCATGCCATTGAGAGGGGAGGTGTGGATCGTCTGAACAGCAGCACACTATGTGGACAAGACAAGGGCTGCAAGCTCGCCACGCACTCACCGGAAGTGCATGCCATCTGCGAGGAGAGGCGTGGCCAACGCATGACAACCAAGACCGGCGAGGCGACGCATGGCGGCTGTGTTGCTGCTGGCGTCATCCGTCGTCACCCCCATGCAAAACCCCACGAGCTCCCACTCCTTGATGACTCGCGCGAAGACGTCTGCAATCAGCCGCCCTGTGTGCCGCGCTCCTAGCTCCATAAACTCCAGTGTACACTGGCGCAGCTGAAAATCCCTGCTAATGAAGTGCGCCGTCACTGTCATGTACCCCCGCCTGTTACCCCCGGTCCATATGTCCGTTGTGAAAGAGACACGCCCGCTCCCGGAACCCGCCCCAAACTCTGACTTAACCACTGCCCGTGCCGCCTCAGAGTAGAAGCGGAGGTCCCTGGAAACGGTGGTCCGGTCGGGTATGGGGATTGCGTCACCGCATTGGGGGTTGCATACAGCCAAGAGGCGGCGGAACTGCCAAAAGGAAACGAGAGGGGGGGTGTGGGGTTTGGGGGTGTTTAGTGCCATGCGGGGGGGGGGGGGAGGAGGTGGTGGTGGGGCGGGTGGTTCTTTTGGTGGGGCAGATCCAGTAGGTTATAAGGGGGGGGGGGAGTTGGGTTACACAATGACCAGAGGCTAAGGGAAGGGTGGGGGGGGGGCTGGTGGGGTGGCTCGCTTACCGCGGGGTCCTCTACGATGCGGAAGGAGCTGTCGGTGCTGGCGATGAACTCGACGATCGCCTGACGCAAACGCGGCTCCGACACACGTGGGCCAAGGAACCGGTCCATCGTGGGCTGCCTCGCGTCCGCCGCTGCCGGGGACAGGGACGGGATGGTGGCGCCGGGGGGGGGGTGCGGCCAGGTCTTGGACCACTCGTTGGGCGCCTTCCCATCAGGGACATGTGGGTACCCCCCCATCGAAAATGACTCTCATGGCTCAAGACCCTCGACCACGCGCCGCTGCCATATGTCCCAGTGTGGGCGATGGTGTCTCGCCATATGTTTGGCACCCGTGCTGGTCTGGCTGTCCTTGAAGCCCATCGGCTTCTCGCACATCTTGCACACTCGCTTTCTCTCGCTCCCCAAGAAACACTCTGCCACACGCTTGTTGCTCCTCTTTGCTCCAACCTTACGGTTCTTTTTCTGTCTTTTCCTTCCCCCCTCCTGCTCAACGCCTGGGTCCACATCCTCAGCCCCATCCGCACGCCCTCCCCTGCCTTGACACCCGACGGACGGAGCAGCGCGCTCCCCCCCCTCCTCCCCGCCCCTCCTCCCCCCTTTGCGCCTGTCCCTGGCCGTGGCCCAACCCCACTCCCTTCCTGACGCTGCCTCTTCCCCCTGGCGCTCTCCCCCCCCTACTCCCACCCGTTCCCTTCTTGGACCGACAATCCCCCTCCCCCTCCTCCTCCTCCTCGTCCTCCAATGCCAATCCCTCCATCTCGAGCTCATCCTCCTCCTCCTCCTCTTCCTCCTCCTCATACTCGCTGCCGCTAGATTTTCCGCTCTCCCGCTCCTCCGACTCGCTCCCATCCCTCTCATCGCCACCGCTCTCCCGGCTGCGGCCCCGTTGTGCGCGCTTGAACCTCCTCCCCTCCCCCTGGGCTCTCCCCCACCCTCCCCCTCGTCCCATCCCCTGCCGAGAGAGGAGGAAATCTGTCCACTCCTCAGGCATGTGGGGCATGGCTCCACCTCCATCGGTCTCATTCGCTCTCGAACTCACACCCCCCTGGTCCCCCAACGCCTCATCTGTGACTGCTACACGATCCCTCTCCGGCCCCCCTTGCCTAGCCGCTGTTGCCTTGGTCTTTGCCATGTGCAATGCAATGCAACCTAATCAAGCATTACCAAGCGTGCGCATACCACGAGCCAAGGCCTTGGTGGCGCGCCTAGGGCTGTCGCGCATACCACGAGCCAAGGCCTTGGTGGCGCGCCTAGGGCTGTCGCGCATACCACGAGCCAAGGCCTTGGTGGCGCGCCTAGGGCTGTCGCGCATACCACGAGCCAAGGCCTTGGTGGCGCGCCTAGGGCTGTCGCGCATACCACGAGCCAAGGCCTTGGTGGCGCGCCTAGGGCTGTCGCGCATACCACCAGCCAAAGCCAAGGCCTCGGTGGCGCGCCTAGGGCTGTAGCGCATACCACGAGCCAAGGCCTCGGTGGCGCGCCTAGGGCTGTCGCGCCAAGGCCTCGGTGGCTCTCATTATAAATAGTAGTTCGTACGTCTTGAAAAAATAAAACAACGTGCTGCAAGTTTGGTTCTGGCTGAGGGCGAAAGACTAGGGCGATAGGCTAGGGCGTTATGGTGAGTGAGATTAGGGTTGGTTGACGAAATGAGTTTGGGGGGGGGGAGTTTATCGATTTGAATTTTGACTGTCGCGAAACCCCCCCTTACCCGAACCGCGAGCCAGCTGGCTCGAACTCGAGCCATTTCGAGCCGGCTCGACTCCGGCTCGCCTGGTGTCACCTGCGCGAGCCGAGCCGAGCCGCCGGCTCGAGTCGAGCCGAGCCGGCTCGGCTCGCCTCGAGCCGGGCACCAAAAAAAAAGGCTCGGCTCGCCTTAAAGGCGAGCCGAGCCGAGCCGAGCCAGGTGTGGCTCGGCTTGTGCCCATGTCTATTCGACAAATATCTAATACAAAACGAATCTGACATCTTGAAGCTATTCGGCAGTATTCGACTCTCAAATATTCGCAAGTTCCGAATATTCGACACTCAAATATTCGATATTCGGGAAAATATTCGTATTCGTGTGAGCCTACCATTCATCTCCCCGACTCCCCTTTCCTCTCAAAATCAGCAGCGCAGTATAAGCAAAACCGGTGAAATCCGAAGGTCGCTCAATTGGCTGATTGCGGCCTCCATAAAACCAATCAATCGTGATAAAAAACGAAAACAGGATTCTTGAGCGTGACATGTTGTTCCATAAATAACCTACCAAAATCACAGCTACTTCGACAATATGCCAAGAGTGGAAGTGATTGGGGAGGGGGATAATAGACTATCAAGGTTAGAGGGGCTATTTCTATCTCGGTCTTTGGTGGGAAGCCCTAGAAGACACCCGAAACCCTGTTCTGACCACCTATTCGTATTCGATTCCGTATTCGTCGCAAAACCGAATATTCGAACCGTATTTGAATTCGAATAGAAAGTGGTATTCGATCAAATACGAAAACACACAAGTATTCGACAAATACTATTTTTTTCATGCCGTATTCGATACCGTATTCGTTTTTGCAGGCTTAGGTGGCGGGCTCCAGAGCGGTGCCATGCCTGGAGCATCTCTGACAGGCCTCCCTCTCCCTAGCGGCCGCTAGAGTTTTGCATTGGCGAGCTGTGTCCGTGCGGACGAGGTGGGAGAGGATGATGATTTCCTGGAAGAGGTGGAGGCGGGCGATGCAGGAGGGGTGGAGGTTGGGGCAACCCATGGGGGGGGGGACGGTGGGCGGTGGGCGGGAGGAGGCGAGGGTGACCAGGAGTGGCATCCCAATGCGGAGGGAGACCCTGCTTTTCCCTCCCTTGCCCCTGCTTCTCCCCCCCTCGCCCGCTGTTATCCCCCCCTGGTCTGCCGCTTGTCCCACCCCTTGCCCACTGTTTTCCACCCCTTGCTCGTTGCCTTCCCCTCCCTTGGCCCTGCTTTTCCCCCCCATTGCCCGCTGTTATTTTCCCCCCCCTTGCCCGCCGCTTGTCCCACCCCTTGCCCGCTGTTTTCCCCTCCTTGCCCGTTGCCTTCCCCTCCCTTGGCCCTGCCTTTCCCCCCCATTGCCCGCTGTTATTTCCCTCCCCAGGCCCGCTGCTTTTCCCCCTGGCCTGTTGCTTTTCCCTCCCTTGCCCCTGCTCTTCCCCCCCTCGCCCGCTGTTATCCCCCCCTTGTCCGCCGCTTGTCCCACCCCTTGCCCGCTGTTTTCCCCTCCTTGTCCGTTGCCTTCCCCTCCCTTGGCCCTACCTTTCCCCCCCATTGCCCGCTGTTATTTTCCCCCCCTTGCCCACTGCTTTTCCCCCTGGCCTGTTGCTTTTCCCTCCCTTGCCCCTGCTTCTCCCCCCCTCGCCTGCTGTTATCCCCCCCGGGGCTGCCGCTTGTCCCACCCCTTGCCCACTGTTTCCCACCCCTTGCTCGTTGCCTTCCCCTCCCTTGGCCCTGCTTTTCCCTCCCATTGCCCGCTGTTATTTTCCCCTCCTTGCCCGCTCCTTCTCCCCCTGGCCCGTTGCCTTCCCCCCCCCCCTCCCTGCAGGCGGTTTCTTCCCAACTTGTCCAATCCCTGTTTCCCCACCTTCCCCCCGTACTCCTCCCCACAGTCGAGCTCCATAACCCGCCTCTAATTGCTGCTCCCTGTTTTTCCCTCTTCCCCCCCCCCCCCTTGCCCCCCTCCCCACTCCACAAGTCTCTCTGATCTCACCTTCTTTTCCCGCTGTTTCTCCCCCTCCCTTCCCCCTTGTTTTCCCCACCCTCCCCCTCTCCTAGCATGCGGCCCCCGTGGCCATGACCCACACCCCCTGCAATGGGGGGAAGGGCGGCCCCGGCGCACTCCGACGGTCGGGGAGAGCCGGTAGCCGCCCTTCTCCCTACTCATTCCCTTCCATCCCCCCACCGGCCCCGGTCGAGAAAACCGTCGGCAAGGGCGGGGACCAGGCGCGCTCTAACTCGCGAGGCCGGAAACGACCTCGGGAGAAGGCGGAGGAAGGCGCTGCCTCACGCCTGGAGAAGCAGGAGCGCAAAGCCACACGCTCGCGCTCCCATGGTCGCAAAAAGTCATCTGCCCCCCCTCCGCCACTCCCACAGGCCAACACTAGCGCCAGGAGAGCCCCCACCTCCTCCACACCCATGGCCACAGGTAGCAAGGCTGGCACAGGTGAGGCCGCAGCAGGGGAGCCAGCGACGTTGTTGAGCTCATAGCACCCGCTCCTAGTGCAGCCAGGCTCGAGGCCGTGTCCTCAGCAGGGGAGCCAGCGACGGGAGCTGTGGGGTTGGCAGGAGCGGCAGCTGGAGCGGAGGCGGAGGGGGAGGTGGCACGGGCTGGGGTAGAGAGGGCAGCATTAGAGGGTATGGCCCGGGCCTATGCGCGGTCCATGGCCGCATGTGGTGCGGCGCCGGAGGCAGCGGCAGGAGAGGCTGCAGGTGTGGCAACTGCAGGGGCGGTTGCAACAGTGGCAGCCATCAAGACTGCGGCAAAGGAGGCTGCCGCATGAGTCACCGCAGGGGGTACTCCAGCGGAAGCTGCTATGGCAGAGGCAGAGGCAGGAGAGGCTTCATGGGGGAAGGAGGAAAAGGCGGCTGCAGAGGCGGTAGCAGCACAGGCTGTAGCCGCAGGGGGAGGAACGACAGCCGTGGTGGGAGGGGCGGCTGTGGGGGCTGCCGCAAAGGCCTTTGCAGAAGTGGCAGCAGCTCCAGCACCAGCAGAGGCGCAGGCACCTGGGCCGGCTGCAATGGGAGCGGCAGAAGGAGACCCTGCAGAGGCAGCAGCCGCTGGGGGTGTGGCCGCTCCAGAGTTGGCAGCAGCCGGGGGGGTGGTCGCGGCGGCGGCAGCAGCAGCTGGGGCTGCAGCAGAGGCGGTGGCAGTGGGAGCATGGGCAGCGGCGGCAACAGCTGGGGCCTCCGCGGAGGAGGCGGCAGCAGCGGATCATGCAAGGGGTGCATCGGCTTGGGCTCGGGATGCGGCAGAGGCAGCAGCAGCAGGGGCCGCAGGGGCACCCGGGGCGGATTTGGGGACAGCAGCAACAGCAGGCGCCCCTGCAGAGGCGGCAGAGGCGGGAGCAGCGGCGGTGCAGGCGGCGACAGTGGCAGGGGATGGGGCTGCCACCGCAGAGGAGGCAGCAGCAGCCGATCTTGCGAGGGGCGCAGCAGCCGGGGCTCGGGATGCCGCGGAAGCGGTGATGGCTGGGGCCGCTGCAGCGGCCAGGGTGGCGGCCGGGGAAGCAGACGAAGGAGTCCCTGCTGAGGCGGCGGGGGCAGGGACAACGGCAGAGGCGGCAGCAGCAGCAGCAGCAACAGGAGCACGTGCAAGGGCGGCTCGGGCAGCAGCTGGAGCGGCAGGGATAGGAGAGCCGCTGGAGACGGCAGCAACGGCAAGGCTACCTACGGCGGGGGAGGCGGCAGCAAAGGGAGCTGTCGTACGTGCTCTCGCACGGCTGTTACCGGGGGGGGGTTGTATGCACGGCTGGCTGCTGCTGCGGCAGCAGCGGAGGAGGCAGAGGTAGGCGCCGCCACGGGGAAGGCAGCCAAGGGGAGTGCCGCAGGGAAGCCAGCAGCAAGTGCTGCGGCAGGGAGGGCAGTGGCGGGAGCGGCGGCAGGGGAAGTAGCAATAGGTCCCGCTGTTTCGAAGGCGGGAGCTAGCAGGGCCGTGACAGCGGTGGTGGCGGCGGCGGCCGCGGCGGTGACGGCTGACAAAGGGGCAGCAGGGGGTGCCGCACCGGGGGCAGCAGCGGAGGCGGCAGCAGGAGCCGCATCAGGGAAGGCTGCAACAAGTGCAACAAGTGCAGCAGGAGGTGCTGCCAGGGAGGCAGCAGCTGGAGCGGCTGCAGCACAGCCAACAATGGGAGCAGCAGGCAGTGCTGCAAGGGAGGCGACAGCTGGAGCTGCTGCATGCAAGGTAGCAACGGGAGCAGCAGGTGGTGCTGCAGGGGAGGCGGCAGCGGGAGCCGCAGCAAGGAAGGCAGCAGCACGTGCGGCAGGAGGTGCTGCCAAGGGGGCGGCGGCAGGTGCGGCTACATGGAAGAAAGCACCCGGACCAGCTGGGGGTGCCGCCTGGGGGGCGGCAGCTGAAGCAGCTGCAGGAAAGGAGGCACACAGAGCAGCAGCAGGGGATGCCACTCAAGAGGCAACAGCAGCGGGGGCAGTTCCCCTGTCGGTAGTGGCCGACTCGTCTGCCTCACCTATCTCCCCCCCCCCTAGGCTTGAGCAACGGGTTGGGTTGGGTTGGGTAACCCAACCCGAACCCGACTTTTTGACGGGTCGGGTCGACATTTGCGGAGGGTCAACCCGACCCGACCCGACCCGACCCGACCCGACCCGACCCGACCCGACCGACAAAACCCGATCCGTCGGGTCGGCTTATTACCCGTCCCTGCCCCTATGCCAACCCGACCCGACCCGACCCGAAATCGGGTCAGGTAGTACCCGACCTATTAAACCCGGGTCGGGTTGACATTTTCCGAGCTCCGACCCGACTTGACCCGACCCGAACCCGGCATCGGGTAGGGCACTGTCGGGTCGGGTCGGGTCGGGTCGGGTCGGGTTCATGCTCAAGCCTACCCCCCACCCTTCCCCCTCCTCCTCCCCCTTCGTCCCGTCCGTCCTCCCCTTACCCCCCCACTCCCCTTCGCAGGTCTGCAGGGGTGGATTCGAGGGAACCAGCTGGGCGGAGGAGTGCAGAGCCTCCACCATCTACGCCCACACTCCCCTCTCGTCCCTCCCACCTTGTTTCACCCCCGCGACCAGCCACGTCGGGCACCCGCCCTTGGCGGCACAAGGTGGGTGCAAGCGGGGCAGCCCGAGCCCTGGCGTTTCTGGCAGAGCCTTGCTCTCCGGCGTCAGCCACCGAGGCTCATCCGCAGCATTGCCAGCTCCTCCCCTCCCCCCCCCTAGGGCCGGGCGAATTACGCGAGGCGGCCGTCGAGGTTCGGCCGGACGAGGAGGGTCCACTCTCTGGATACATCCAGGCCGCCCCAACCCTCTCAGGCTCCCCCCCGCCAGAGCTTGCGCCAGAGGGAGCAAGACAGCCCACGGGGGTTCCGACCGCCCCCTCCCCTCTCCCACCCACACAGGTTGGCACTCCGGCAGCCCCAACGCGGGTGGAAGCCTCGGTCCAACCCTCCTCACTATGCCCCTCCCCATCTTCTGCCACTGCAGGTGCCCCCCGCACTGACCATGGCACATGCCCAGGCGGCCAAAGGGGCGCTCCCCACAAGAAGGGCAAGCAGGGCGAACTCTCGGGGGGGAGATTTAAGTCGAACAAACTCCCTCTCAGCCCATGACGCCTCACCGCGGCGAATCCCACCTCACAAGCCCCACAGCTGAGCCTCGGGCAGGGCGCAGCCATCGGGGGCCTCACTCCGCTTCCCTTCCCTATGGCCCAGCCTATCACACCCCCATCTCGTTCCCCCCTTACCCCGCCCACGCATCCCACCCGGGACCCTCTTTCTACAATCCAGCCCTCACTCCCCGCCCGCCTCTTTGTACAAGCCCCAGGCTTCATGTCCCACCTGGCTGCCCCGATGCGGGTGGAAGTTTCGCACATTCCAGCCGCACCAGCTCCAACCCAGGGTGTCTCATCGACTCATGACCCTATTCTCGCTACTCAACCGGCTCTCTTGCCATGCCCGCTTGCCCCCACGCAGCCCGCCACCGCCGTCATGGGCGAAGCTCGAGCGACCCCCATATCTCACTCTCCCCCCTCCCGCACCAGACACGCTCTGTTGGCCAGGGGCCAAGCAGTTGATGCCAACTCCCCAACCGTGATGGACATCGACCCAGAGTCAGTAGTGGCCCCGCATGATGCTTCCTCCGATCTGTACGTCCTCCCTTTCCGTCGTATTGCGCAGGCAGCGACATCGGCCAACGCCGTGAAGGAGGGAGGCGAGGAGGGCGCTAGAGCGGTGATATGTTCCGAGAGCGGTGTGGCCGATCCCACCACCGCTACCACTCGTCTCCTTCCCCCCGTTCCCTCACCCGCCCCAGCCCCACCCCCAGGACGGCTCGGCGCGCAAGCGCAAGCGCACGCTCACCCGACACAGTCACCCGTCGTCGGCGACCAGGCCCGCTCACCCTCCCAGCCATCCCACCCCCAACCACAGCGGAGGGTGGTCACCCTGCGGACCTCGGTGGGACGACCTGTCGGCCCCGGTACAGGTCGCCGGAAGGGGAGCAAGACCAAAGGGGCATCGGGGACAGCTCGGCCACCGGGGCAGACGGACAGGAGCTCAGCCGAGATGGATATCGATACAGAGGCGGAGGGAGCGACTCCAGCACCTCCCAAGCAGCCCTACATCCCCCCCCAGCGTCGGCCTCCCCCTCCCATCTCTTCCTCCCCCCCCCGCCCACATCCTCCCACCCAGGTCCAGGGCCGAGACGGCCCACCCACCATGACCAACCAACGTGCCGTCCTTCCCCCACCCACAGGCGGACAGTCACAGGGGGCGGACTGGGAGACGGAGGCGGCAGTCGCCGACCTGCTCGGGATCTGGAGCATATCTGCTACCCCCTCTGCGCCCCCCCTAGGCCCAGCACCCCGGGCCGCGAGCGACCTGGCCGACGACCCCCATGCCGCCGCCCGGTTATCTCCCTCCACAGCCCTCGCACCAGAGCGGATGGCCATCGACGACTCAGACGCGCCCCTTGCCCCCCTCACTCGGCCCAGGCGGGACTACGCCTCGAGGCGATCGTACCTACGCTTTGTCAGCACACACGCACTCTGGCCCTCCCCTAGAGCCTGATGCACCCCTTGCCCCTGCCACCATCCCACCACCCCACACGGCCACAGCTCAGTCTCCTATGGTCTCCCCTCTCAGCTCACGTCGGGAAGGAGCGTTTCCGCGGCCGAGTGCTATAGACCCTCACCCCCCACCCACACCAGCTCATGGCTTGACACCCGCGGCCGACCCCGCCACCGGTGTTTTCCCCTCCCCCCAGGATGCAGGGGCCGCACCTAGGCCCTCGAGCCCCCCGCCGACCCCTCCCCCTCTTTCGACATTGCCGCCGCCGCTGACCCCTGTCCGACCCCAGGTGGCAGGTGAGCCTCCTTCCCCGATGGCGGGCGACTATCGACCGGACCCGGTGGTCGAATCGGCCGCCTCCACCGCCAGCTCTGACGAGACCGGCCACACCGATCACGCGGACGAGTCCACGCCAGCCCATGAGGTGAGATGTCCCACGTGCCTTCACCTCATGGCGGACGACAGAGCTCTCCGACACCACACACCTCACTGCACCCCGAGCGATGAGGCACGCCGTGTGCAGGCCCGCCAGGAGGCCGCCTCGGTCCGCGGGTCACTCTCACGCCCGGATTCATCTGTTCCCGTCTTTTCGGACACGCAGTGGGCGCAGCTGGACTCTGTGGATTGGAGAGAGTATTTGTTTCCGTCCTGGACGCATGCTCGCCCGCTCCGGTGCATCCCGTCGAGGGTCCGAGGAGGCATCTCTGATGTCCTCCGTGAGATCACCTCCCGTATGGAGAAGTATCCGGACGCCGACGGCCCCCACATCTTGTTCACGGCGGTGCCGACGCTGTTCTTAGCGCCGGCCACTCCACCAGAGCGGGGCCACACAGCTTCCATCGCGGCTCGCGTCGCACGCTTCTTCCGAGGTGAGTGGGACTCTCTCTTCTCCGACGCGCTGCGTCGTCGCACGCCCCTGCCCACCCGCACATCACGTCGCACCCCCGGCACCGCCACGTCAGGAGACGAGCGTCGGATTGCGCGTTGCCTACGCTTGGCAGCGTGCAACGAGACATCTCGTGCGTGCGCGGCACTGGAGTCGGCCGAGGCGGCTCCAGACACGGATCGCACGATGTATAGCCTACGGGCTAAGCACCCTAGTGCGGAGTGCCCTCTACCGGAGTGGCTCTCCACCTTCCACGAGGGCGGCCTCGTGCTCTCGGCCACCCACCTTCGCCAGGCCATTTTCACTGCACCGCGTGGCTCGTCGGGAGGACCTACCTGATGGGTGGCGGAACACCTCCGCGACACCTTTTTGGCGTTCCCACAAACCCTACCCTCCTTGCTGTCTGTATACCAGCTCTGGCTCGAAGGACGTTGCCCCTCGGCCGCGCTCTCTTTTGGCTTCGTCCACCCTCGTGGCTCTCGCGAAAGCCGAACGGGGACGTGCGACCGATCGTCATTAGAGAGGTGCTCGTGCGCAACCTCTCCCGCGCAGTCTGTCTCTAGCTCCGCGACCAGATAGCGAGAGTATTCCTCGCATCACAGCAGTTCGGAGTCGGGGTCACGTGTGGCACAGAGGTCACCGTTAGAGGCGTCGTTCGCACTCTAGCCGACCACCCAGGCTGGGTGGTTCTGCAGCTGGACGTGGCCAACGCCTTTAACTCTTTCTTTCGCGACGTCTTGTTCCAGGCACTGCATGCCAGTCCTGAGTTCAGGTGCCTCATTCCATTCATCCGTCTTTTTTACGGCACGCCGTCCGATCAGCTCTATCGGACTGGCAGGGGAGTCACCACGATGCACTCGAAGCGCGGCACTCGGCAGGGAGACCCGCTGAGCCCGTTTCTCTACGCCCTCACGCAGCGCCTTGCCCTGGAGCCCGTCCTGGCAGGGGGTGACGTCCAGCTCTGGTCGTACGCCGACGACACCTACCTCGTGGGCCCTCCGGACAGGGTGCTGCACCACTTCACGGAGGTCGTGAGGCGCTTGGGCGAGTTGGGCCTTGCTGTCCAGCCGCACAAGTGCCTTGTCCATCACACGTCGGTGATCCTGCCTCGCGACGTGCAGGCTTTCACCGATCTGGGCATCGAGGTCGCACGCCGGGGGCTCACCGTGACGGGCGTTCTGGTAGGCACCGATACCTTTGTGACGATCAGCCTGCGCGACCGACTGGAGAGGATGGCTGGGGTGCTGCCGTGGCTCCCGAGGCTGCGGCAGCCACAGACAGCGGCGCGCCTGCTCTCCGCGTGTGTCAGCACACGTCCGCAGTACCTGGCGCGGACAGTCCCCCCATCACCAGAGGTACGTGCCATCTTTGCAGCGTGGGACGCGTGCTTGGGAGCGACCCTCCAGCAGCTCCTGGTGCGAGGTACGTGGAGGGAGAGGTATGCGATCTGTGAGGCAGCCCTGGAGCAGGCTTTCCTCCCGATCCGCATCGGGGGCTTCGGCATCCGACGCATGGAGCGCATCGCCCCGGTGAGTTATCTCTGTTCGTGGGTGCAGTGCGCACCGATTCTCTGCTCGTTGCCGTCGGTGGGGGAGGGCTTCCGTCAGAGCTTCGCATCAGGTGACCCCACCCAGATCGATCCGTACATCATGATGGCTTAGGAGGCCCTGCCGGCGGACGTCCTACGCCTCATGCCAGCCTGGCCTTCTTGCGCGACAGGAGCACCGGACGGCCTCTTCAGAGAGGCCAGCAGACACATCGAGACGCACGCTTTGGAGTCGGTACGTGCCCGTCATACTAATCCCTTGCATCTTGCCCGTTTGACATCCTTTCAGGGTCCATGTGCGATAGCTTGGCTTACGGCGGTACCCTACGCGGACTCCGTGCCCATTCCGGAGGTGCAGTGGCAGGTGGCTTCATGCTTTCGTCTCGGTCTCCCCATTCTCCAGAAAGTCCTGGCAGGTCAGTGCTCGTGCGGAGAGGAGATCGCCGACATGTCGGTGCCGCATCACGCGGTGAGGTGCGCACGCTTCGCGGTCGCCACGACCATCCACGACACAGTGAAGTACATGCTTCGTGACTTCGCGGACGAGGCCGGCTTCGCTGTCCAGGTGGAGGACACGGCGCTCATTCCGCACCTGGAGGCGACGCGAGCTCGACTGCAGGTTTTGCACGCGGGGTAGGGGCAGGGGCAGGAGCGGGCAGGACAGACAGGACGGCATCAGTGGCGGGATCAGAAGAGGGGGAGAGGCAGGCGGGTCAGGAGGGAGAGAGGCAGGGGGCGAGGAGGAGCAGGAGGGGCAGCAGCGGCGGTTCGGCAGGGAGGAGCAGCAGCAGCAGCAGGGCAGGGGGGAGAGCCGGCGGGAGGAGGAGCAGCAGCAGCAGCGGCAGGGTGGCGGAGAGGGGCAGCAGCGGCGCGCGGGGGGAGAGGGGCAGGTACAGCAGCCGCATGGAGCTCAGGCAGGGCCGCGGCAGGGGGCCTAGGCGGGACAGCGGCAGAGGACAGGGGACGAGCTCTTGGGCAGGGCACCACCGAGGCGGGTGCACTTCGCGCGTGAGGCGTTAGGAGAGGCACACGCGGAGGGGAGGACAGGCGAGGGTGGGCTAGAGGGGTCGGTAGTAGGCGGGGGTATAGGAGAGACGGAGGGCGTGAAGGGAGGGGGGGCGGGAGGGAGAGAGGAGATGGCGGAAGGGGCGGGGGTAGCAGGGGGAGTGGGGGAGGGGAGAGCGGGAGGGAGGAGAGGGAGGGTGAGAGGGGGAGTTGGGAGGGGGACCACGACGACCAGATGGGGAGCATCAGGGGACCAGACAGAGCAGCAGCCTGCGCAGCAGCAGCAGACGCCAGCCGCTCGCACAGGCCGCATAGGGGCACCTGCCCGCATTCTCGACCTCACTTGCAAGGCGCGGCTAGATGCATTGATGGTGATTGTAGACGTCTCGGTGGCAGACCCACAGCGGGAGGGGAATGCGCAGTTCACGCGCATGGCACCCACTCTGATTGGCGGCGCAGCAGCTAGGCGGGTGCAGGATAAGCTGCGACACTGGAGGCCGGTGTTACAGGGGTTGCAGCCGGATCCAGAGTTGTACGCCTGCGTAGTGGAGATTTTTGAATGCTTGAGTGAGCCACTGCGGCAGTTCCTAGGGCTGTGTGCATCGCGGATAGCACGGCGGAGGAGAGATTCAGGGGCAGGGGATGACGGGTCGGCACGGATATTCGAGACGAGCCTCACCACGCGTCTCTCCCTGGCACTGCAGCGGGCGCACGCAAATGTGATCATGCAGCATGCAGTGTGGCAGCTGGGTGGCTCCGACAATGGATGGATGCCAGCACCTGTACTTTGGGTGCTGGGCAGGGGAGCTGGCACCACATCACAGGGTGCTTCGAGAGTGCAGCAGATATGCAGTATATGTATGATGCATATGTGTCGAAAGCATAAAAAAACATATATAGGCCGTGCTGGAGACGCTGGGTCCGCGCTGTGCGCGTGGGCTGTTGCTTTGTTAGGTCCCAAGATGTACCTCTTATATAGTCACACTCCCCCTTCCCTCCTTCCTCTCTTTTTTCTCTCCTCTTTCTCGCTTTCTTCTCCTCCACTCTTTCTGCTACCTTCTTCCTTCCACTATCTTCTCTGTCTTTCTTTCTCTATCTCTTCTCTCTCTCTTCTGCTCTTCTATACCTCTTAACACTACTGTGTCATAATAGCGCAACGCTCATGCCGAAAATCTCATGTTCGGCATGACCGTTGCGCTATTATAGCGCAGTAGCGTTAAGAAGTATACAAGAGAAGAAAGGAGAGAGAAGAGATAGAGAAGGAAAGAGAGAGGAGGTAGTGGAAAAAAAAAGGTAGAAGAAAGTGTGGAAGAAAAGAAAGCGAGAAAGATGAGAGAAAGAGGAGAGAAAGAGGAGAGGTGAAGGAAAGGGGAGAGGGTTGTGACTATATCAGAGGGACATCATGGGACCTAACAAAGCAAGAGCCGAATCGCACAGCGCGGACCCAGCGTCTCCAGCACGGCTTATATATGTTTTTTATGTTTTCTACACATGTGCATCATACATATACTGCATATCTGCTGCACTCTCGAAGCACCATGTGATGTGGTGCCAGCTCCCGTGCCCAGCACCCAAAGGTACAGGTGCTGGCATCCATCCATTGTCGGAGCCACCCAGCTGCCGCACTGCATGCTTCATGATCACATTTGCCTGCGCCCGCTGCAGTGCCACGGAGAGACGCTTAGTGAGGCTCGTCTCAACTATTCGTGCTGACCCGTCATCCCCTGCCCCTAAATCTCTCCTCCGCCGTGCTGTCCGCGATGCACACAGCCCTAGGAACTGCCGCAGTGGCTCACTCAAGCATTCAAAAATCTCCACTACGCAGGCGTACAACTCTGGATCCGGCTGCAACCCTTGTAACACCGGCCTCCAGTGTCGCAGCTTATCCTGCACCCGCCTAGCTGCTGCGCCGCCAATCAGAGTGGGTGCCATGCGCGTGAACTGCGCATTCCCCTCCCGCTGTGGGTCTGCCACCGAGACGTCTACAATCACCATCAATGCATCTAGCCGCGCCTTGCAAGTGAGGTCGAGAATGCGGGCAGGTGCCCCTATGCGGCCTGTGCGAGCGGCTGGCGTCTGCTGCTGCTGCGCAGGCTGCTGCTCTGTCTGGTCCCCTGATGCTCCCCATCTGGTCGTCGTGGTCCCCCTCCCAACTCCCCCTCTCACCCTCCCTCTCCTCCCTCCCGCTCTCCCCTCCCCCACTCCCCCTGCTACCCCCGCCCCTTCCGCCATCTCCTCTCTCCCTCCCGCCCCCCCTCCCTTCACGCCCTCCGTCTCTCCTATACCCCCGCCTACTACCGACCCCTCTAGCCCACCCTCGCCTGTCCTCCCCTCCGCGTGTGCCTCTCCTAACGCCTCACGCGCGAAGTGCACCCGCCTCGGTGGTGCCCTGCCCAAGAGCTCGTCCCCTGTCCTCTGCCGCTGTCCCGCCTAGGCCCCCTGCCGCGGCCCTGCCTGAGCTCCATGCGGCTGCTGTACCTGCCCCTCTCCCCCCGCGCGCCGCTGCTGCCCCTCTCCGCCACCCTGCCGCTGCTGCTGCTGCTCCTCCTCCCGCCGGCTCTCCCCCCTGCCCTGCTGCTGCTGCTGCTCCTCCCTGCCGAACCGCCGCTGCTGCCCCTCCTGCTCCTCCTCGCCCCCTGCCTCTCTCCCTCCTGACCCGCCTGCCTCTCCCCCTCTTCTGATCCCGCCACTGATGCCGTCCTGTCTGTCCTGCCCGCTCCTGCCCCTGCCCCTACCCCGCGTGCAAAACCTGCAGTCGAGCTCGCGTCGCCTCCAGGTGCGGAATGAGCGCCGTGTCCTCCACCTGGACAGCGAAGCCGGCCTCGTCCGCGAAGTCACGAAGCATGTACTTCACTGTGTCGTGGATGGTCGTGGCGACCGCGAAGCGTGCGCACCTCACCGCGTGATGCGGCACCGACATGTCGGCGATCTCCTCTCCGCACGAGCACTGACCTGCCAGGACTTTCTGGAGAATGGGGAGACCGAGACGAAAGCATGAAGCCACCTGCCACTGCACCTCCGGAATGGGCAGGGAGTCCGCGTAGGGTACCGCCGTAAGCCAAGCTATCGCACATGGACCCTGAAAGGATGTCAAACGGGCAAGATGCAAGGGATTAGTATGACGGGCACGTACCGACTCCAAAGCGTGCGTCTCGATGTGTCTGCTGGCCTCTCTGAAGAGGCCGTCCGGTGCTCCTGTCGCGCAAGAAGGCCAGGCTGGCATGAGGCGTAGGACGTCCGCCGGCAGGGCCTCCTAAGCCATCATGATGTACGGATCGATCTGGGTGGGGTCACCTGATGCGAAGCTCTGACGGAAGCCCTCCCCCACCGACGGCAACGAGCAGAGAATCGGTGCGCACTGCACCCACGAACAGAGATAACTCACCGGGGCGATGCGCTCCATGCGTCGGATGCCGAAGCCCCCGATGCGGATCGGGAGGAAAGCCTGCTCCAGGGCTGCCTCACAGATCGCATACCTCTCCCTCCACGTACCTCGCACCAGGAGCTGCTGGAGGGTCGCTCCCAAGCACGCGTCCCACGCTGCAAAGATGGCACGTACCTCTGGTGATGGGGGGACTGTCCGCGCCAGGTACTGCGGACGTGTGCTGACACACGCGGAGAGCAGGCGCGCCGCTGTCTGTGGCTGCCGCAGCCTCGGGAGCCACGGCAGCACCCCAGCCATCCTCTCCAGTCGGTCGCGCAGGCTGATCGTCACAAAGGTATCGGTGCCTACCAGAACGCCCGTCACGGTGAGCCCCCGGCGTGCGACCTCGATGCCCAGATCGGTGAAAGCCTGCACGTCGCGAGGCAGGATCACCGACGTGTGATGGACAAGGCACTTGTGCGGCTGGACAGCAAGGCCCAACTCGCCCAAGCGCCTCACGACCTCCGTGAAGTGGTGCAGCACCCTGTCCGGAGGGCCCACGAGGTAGGTGTCGTCGGCGTACGACCAGAGCTGGACGTCACCCCCTGCCAGGACGGGCTCCAGGGCAAGGCGCTGCGTGAGGGCGTAGAGAAACGGGCTCAGCGGGTCTCCCTGCCGAGTGCCGCGCTTCGAGTGCATCGTGGTGACTCCCCTGCCAGTCCGATAGAGCTGATCGGACGGCGTGCCGTAAAAAAGACGGATGAATGGAATGAGGCACCTGAACTCAGGACTGGCATGCAGTGCCTGGAACAAGACGTCGCGAAAGAAAGAGTTAAAGGCGTTGGCCACGTCCAGCTGCAGAACCACCCAGCCTGGGTGGTCGGCTAGAGTGCGAACGACGCCTCTAACGGTGACCTCTGTGCCACACGTGACCCCGACTCCGAACTGCTGTGATGCGAGGAATACTCTCGCTATCTGGTCGCGGAGCTAGAGACAGACTGCGCGGGAGAGGTTGCGCACGAGCACCTCTCTAATGACGATCGGTCGCACGTCCCCGTTCGGCTTTCGCGAGAGCCACGAGGGTGGACGAAGCCAAAAGAGAGCGCGGCCGAGGGGCAACGTCCTTCGAGCCAGAGCTGGTATACAGACAGCAAGGAGGGTAGGGTTTGTGGGAACGCCAAAAAGGTGTCGCGGAGGTGTTCCGCCACCCATCAGGTAGGTCCTCCCGACGAGCCACGCGGTGCAGTGAAAATGGCCTGGCGAAGGTGGGTGGCCGAGAGCACGAGGCCGCCCTCGTGGAAGGTGGAGAGCCACTCCGGTAGAGGGCACTCCGCACTAGGGTGCTTAGCCCGTAGGCTATACATCGTGCGATCCGTGTCTGGAGCCGCCTCGGCCGACTCCAGTGCCGCGCACGCACGAGATGTCTCGTTGCACGCTGCCAAGCGTAGGCAACGCGCAATCCGACGCTCGTCTCCTGACGTGGCGGTGCCGGGGGTGCGACGTGATGTGCGGGTGGGCAGGGGCGTGCGACGACGCAGCGCGTCGGAGAAGAGAGAGTCCCACTCACCTCGGAAGAAGCGTGCGACGCGAGCCGCGATGGAAGCTGTGTGGCCCCGCTCTGGTGGAGTGGCCGGCGCTAAGAACAGCGTCGGCACCGCCGTGAACAAGATGTGGGGGCCGTCGGCGTCCGGATACTTCTCCATACGGGAGGTGATCTCACGGAGGACATCAGAGATGCCTCCTCGGACCCTCGACGGGATGCACCGGAGCGGGCGAGCATGCGTCCAGGACGGAAACAAATACTCTCTCCAATCCACAGAGTCCAGCTGCGCCCACTGCGTGTCCGAAAAGACGGGAACAGATGAATCCGGGCGTGAGAGTGACCCGCGGACCGAGGCGGCCTCCTGGCGGGCCTGCACACGGCGTGCCTCATCGCTCGGGGTGCAGTGAGGTGTGTGGTGTCGGAGAGCTCTGTCGTCCGCCATGAGGTGAAGGCACGTGGGACATCTCACCTCATGGGCTGGCGTGGACTCGTCCGCGTGATCGGTGTGGCCGGTCTCGTCAGAGCTGGCGGTGGAGGCGGCCGATTCGACCACCGGGTCCGGTCGATAGTCGCCCGCCATCGGGGAAGGAGGCTCACCTGCCACCTGGGGTCGGACAGGGGTCAGCGGCGGCGGCAATGTCGAAAGAGGGGGAGGGGTCGGCGGGGGGCTCGAGGGCCTAGGTGCGGCCCCTGCATCCTGGGGGGAGGGGAAAACACCGGTGGCGGGGTCGGCCGCGGGTGTCAAGCCATGAGCTGGTGTGGGTGGGGGGTGAGGGTCTATAGCACTCGGCCGCGGAAACGCTCCTTCCCGACGTGAGCTGAGAGGGGAGACCATAGGAGACTGAGCTGTGGCCGTGTGGGGTGGTGGGATGGTGGCAGGGGCAAGGGGTGCATCAGGCTCTAGGGGAGGGCCAGAGTGCGTGTGTGCTGACAAAGCGTAGGTACGATCGCCTCGAGGCGTAGTCCCGCCTGGGCCGAGTGAGGGGGGCAAGGGGCGCGTCTGAGTCGTCGATGGCCATCCGCTCTGGTGCGAGGGCTGTGGAGGGAGATAACCGGGCGGCGGCATGGGGGTCGTCGGCCAGGTCGCTCGCGGCCCGGGGTGCTGGGCCTAGGGGGGGCGCAGAGGGGGTAGCAGATATGCTCCAGATCCCGAGCAGGTCGGCGACTGCCGCCTCCGTCTCCCAGTCCGCCCCCTGTGACTGTCCGCCTGTGGGTGGGGGAAGGACGGCACGTTGGTTGGTCATGGTGGGTGGGCCGTCTCGGCCCTGGACCTGGGTGGGAGGATGTGGGCGGGGGGGGAGGAAGAGATGGGAGGGGGAGGCCGACGCTGGGGGGGGATGTAGGGCTGCTTGGGAGGTGCTGGAGTCGCTCCCTCCGCCTCTGTATCGATATCCATCTCGGCTGAGCTCCTGTCCGTCTGCCCCGGTGGCCGAGCTGTCCCCGATGCCCCTTTGGTCTTGCTCCCCTTCCGGCGACCTGTACCGGGGCCGACAGGTCGTCCCACCGAGGTCCGCAGGGTGACCACCCTCCGCTGTGGTTGGGGGTGGGATGGCTGGGAGGGTGAGCGGGCCTGGTCGCCGACGACGGGTGACTGTGTCGGGTGAGCGTGCGCTTGCGCTTGCGCGCCGAGCCGTCCTGGGGGTGGGGCTGGGGCGGGTGAGGGAACGGGGGGAAGGAGACGAGTGGTAGCGGTGGTGGGATCGGCCACACCGCTCTCGGAACATATCACCGCTCTAGCGCCCTCCTCGCCTCCCTCCTTCACGGCGTTGGCCGATGTCGCTGCCTGCGCAATACGACGGAAAGGGAGGACGTACAGATCGGAGGAAGCATCATGCGGGGCCACTACTGACTCTGGGTCGATGTCCATCACGGTTGGGGAGTTGGCATCAACTGCTTGGCCCCTGGCCAACAGAGCGTGTCTGGTGCGGGAGGGGGGAGAGTGAGATATGGGGGTCGCTCGAGCTTCGCCCATGACGGCGGTGGCGGGCTGCGTGGGGGCAAGCGGGCATGGCAAGAGAGCCGGTTGAGTAGCGAGAATAGGGTCATGAGTCGATGAGACACCCTGGGTCGGAGCTGGTGCGGCTGGAATGTGCGAAACTTCCACCCGCATCGGGGCAGCCAGGTGGGACATGAAGCCTGGGGCTTGTACAAAGAGGCGGGCGGGGAGTGAGGGCTGGATTGTAGAAAGAGGGTCCCGGGTGGGATGCGTGGGCGGGGTAAGGGGGGAACGAGATGGGGGTGTGATAGGCTGGGCCATAGGGAAGGGAAGCGGAGTGAGGCCCCCGATGGCTGCGCCCTGCCCGAGGCTCAGCTGTGGGGCTTGTGAGGTGGGATTCGCCGCGGTGAGGCGTCATGGGCTGAGAGGGAGTTTGTTCGACTTAAATCTCCCCCCCGAGAGTTCGCCCTGCTTGCCCTTCTTGTGGGGAGCGCCCCTTTGGCCGCCTGGGCATGTGCCATGGTCAGTGCGGGGGGCACCTGCAGTGGCAGAAGATGGGGAGGGGCATAGTGAGGAGGGTTGGACCGAGGCTTCCACCCGCGTTGGGGCTGCCGGAGTGCCAACCTGTGTGGGTGGGAGAGGGGAGGGGGCGGTCGGAACCCCCGTGGGCTGTCTTGCTCCCTCTGGCGCAAGCTCTGGCGGGGGGGAGCCTGAGAGGGTTGGGGCGGCCTGGATGTATCCAGAGAGTGGACCCTCCTCGTCCGGCCGAACCTCGACGGCCGCCTCGCGTAATTCGCCCGGCCCTAGGGGGGGGGAGGGGAGGAGCTGGCAATGCTGCGGCTGAGCCTCGGTGGCTGACGCCGGAGAGCAAGGCTCTGCCAGAAACGCCGGGGTTCGGGCTGTCCCGCTTGCACCCACCTTGTTCCACCAAGGGCGGGCGCCCGACGTGGCTGGTTGCGGGGGTGAAGCAAGGTGGGAGGGACGGGAGGGGAGTGTGGGCGTAGATGGTGGAGGCACGGCACTCGTCCGCCCAGCTGGTTCCCTCTGCAGACCTGCGATGGGGAGTGGGGGGGAGGGGGGGGACGGACGGGGCGAAGGGGGAGGGGGAGGAGGAGGGGGAAGGGCGGGGGAGATACGTGAGGCAGACGAGTCAGCCACTAGTGACACGGGTGCTGCCCCCGCTGCTGCCTCTCGAGTGGCATCCCCTGCTGCCGCTCTGTGTGCTTCCTTCCCTGCAGCTGCTTCAGCTGCTGCCCCCCGAGCAGCACCCCCAGCTGCTCCTGGTGCTGTCTCCCATGCAGCCGCTCCTGCTGCTGCCCCCTTGGCAGCACCTCCTGCTGCGCGTGTTGCTGCCCTCCCTGCTGCGGCTCCCGCTGCTGCCTCCCTTGCGGCACTACCTGCTGCTCCCGTTGCTACCTTGCATGCAGCAGCTCCAGCCGTCGCCTCCCTTGCAGCACTGCCCGCTGCTCCCGTTGTTGCCTTTGCTGCAGCCGCTCCAGCTGCTTCCTCCCTGGTCGCACCTCCTGCTGCACCCGCTGCACTTGTTGCAACTTTCCCTGATGCGGCTCCTGCTGCCGCCTCCGCTGCTGCCTCCCCTGCTGCTCCCGTTGCAACCTTACCTGCAGCAGCTCCAGCTGACACCCCCCTTGCAGCCCCTCCTGCCGCTCCTGTTGGTGTCCTCCATGTAGCGGGCCCAGCTGCCGCCTTCCTTGTAGCATCTGCTGCTGTAGTTGTCGCTGCCTTCCCCGCATCGGCACCCGCTGCCGCCTCCCTTGCGGCACCGGCACCGGCTGCTGCACCTGTTGCTGCCTTAACTGCAGCCACTCCAGCTCCTGCCTTCCCTGCAGCTGCTCCAGCTGCTGCCTTCCCTGCAGCATCTCCTACCTCCTTCGTGGGAGCGCCCACCTGTGTGGCCTGTGCTGCTGCCGCCTCGACAGCCGCTCCTACTCCTGTTGCTGCCATCTCCGCCGCAACCCCAGCTGCTGACTCCCCTGCGGCGCACCCTGCTGGTCCTGTTGCTGCCTTCCCTGCAGCCGCTCCCGTCGCTGCCCCCTAGTGCGGCACCCACAGCTGCCCCTTTGTCAGCTGTCACGGCCGCAGCCGCCGCTGCTGTCACGGCCCCCCTAGCTGCTGCCGTCGAAACCGCGTGACCCATTGCTACTGTCCCTGCCGCCGCTCCTGCTGCTGCCTTCCCTGCCGCAGCACTTGCTGCTGGCTTCCCTACGGCGCTCCCCCTGGCTGCCTTCCTCACAGCGGCGCCTACCTCTGCCTCCTCCGCTGCTGCCGCAGCGGCAGCCAGACGTGCATACATCCCCCCCCCGGAAACAGCCCGTGCGAGAGCGCGTACGACAGCTCCCTTTGCTGCCGCCTCCTCCGCCGTAGGTAGCCTCGCCGCTGCTGCCGCCGCCGGCGGCGGCTCTCCTATCCCTGCCGCTCCAGCTGCTGCCCGAGCTGCCACTGCACGTGCTTCTGTTGCTGCTGTTGCTGCCGCTGCTGCTGCTGCTGCTGCTGTTGTTGCTGCCGCTGCTGATGCTGCTGCTGCTGCTGCCTCTGCCGTTGCCCCTGCCCCCACCACCTCAGCAGGGACTCCTTCTGCTGCTTCCCCAGCATCCGCCCTGGCCGCTGCAGCGGCCCCAGCCGTAACCGCCTCCGCCTCTGCGGCATCCCGAGCCCCGGTCGCTACGCCCCTCGCGGGATCGGCTGCCGCCTCCTCTGCGGTGGCAGCCCCAGCTGCTCCTGCCGCCGCCTGCATCGCAGCCCCCGCCTCTGCCGCCTCTGCAGGGGCGCCTGCTGCTGCTGCCGCCCCCAAATCCGCCCCGGCCGCCTCGGTGGCCCCTGCTGCTGCTGCTGCTGCCTCTGCCGCTGCCGTCTCCCGAGCCCTAGCCGATGTACCCCTTGCACGATCCACCGTCGCCGCCTCCTCCACGGAGGCCCTGGCCGTCGCCGCCGCTGCCCGTGCTCCTGCTCCCACCGCCTCTGCCACTGCCCAAGCTGCTGCTGCCGCTGCTGCCGCCGCCGCGGCGGCTGCTCCTGCCAATTCTGCAGCTCCTGTCGCTGGCTTCCCTGCTGAGGACTCGACGTCGGGCATGGCTGCACTAGGAGCGGGTGCTATAACCTCGACTACGTCCTCCTCCGAGTCATCAGCGCCCCCCGAAACCCAATCCAAGTCCAAGTCCTTCGTGTGGGAAAAGCAATGGGCACGGGGGGGAAACGTGTGGGCCGGGAGAGAAAATGTGTGGGCAAGAGCGTAGAGTTAGTGTGCAAGTAGGGACAAGCAGTGGGCAAGGGGGGGAACAGCAGTGGACAAGGAGGGGGAAGAGTAGTGGGCACGGGGGGAGGGATGGGAAAGACAGAGGGCAGACTCCTGGGAAACAGTGGGGGAGATATCAAGGAACCGGGAAGAGGGGTGGGGGAGACTGGAGGGGGTATAGGGGGAAGCCTGGTGGGGAAGAGGGGGGGGACCTGGGGGGGAGTGGGGGAAGCCGTGGAGCAGCGGGCAGGGAAGCGGGGGAGCAGCGGGCAGGGAAAGTGGGGGGAGCAGCGGGCAGGGAAAGTGGTTGGGAGCAGCAGGCAGGGAAGCGGGGGAGCAGCGGGCAGGGAAGCGGGGGAGCGGCGGGCAGGTGAAGTTGGGAAAAGCAGAGGCTAGGGAGGGGGGGGGGGGATAGCAGCAGCAAGGGGGAAAAGGATCAGCAAGGAAGGACCGGCGAGCGGGGAAGTCAGGGACAACGGGTGGGCGATTGGGGGGAACAGCGGGCAGGGGAGTGGGGGGACGGCGGGCGGAGAACGGGGGAACGGCGGGCAGGGACGTGCTGGGGAGACGACGGGCTGGGATGTGGGGGAGCAGCGGTAAGGGAAGCGGGAGAGCAACGGGCCGGGAAGCGGGGGAGCAACGGGTAGGGAAGTGGGGGAGCAACGGGTAGGGAAGCGGGGGAGCAACGGGTAGGGAAGCGGGGGGACAGCGGGCAGGGAATGTGGGGTGAGAAGCGGGCAGGGACAGTGGAGGGGGGAGCAGCTGGCAGGGAAGCGGGGGAGCTGCGGGCAGGGAAAGTGGGGGAGCAGCGGGCAGGGAAAGTGGTTGGGAGCAGCAGGCAGGGAAGCGGGGGAGCAGCGGGCAGGGAAGCGGGGGAGCGGCGGGCAGGTGAAGTTGGGAAAAGCAGAGGCTAGGGAGGGGGGGGGGGATAGCAGCAGCAAGGGGGAAAAGGATCAGCAAGGAAGGACCGGCGAGCGGGGAAGTCAGGGACAACGGGTGGGCGATTGGGGGGAACAGCGGGCAGGGGAGTGGGGGGACGGCGGGCGGAGAACGGGGGAACGGCGGGCAGGGACGTGCTGGGGAGACGACGGGCTGGGATGTGGGGGAGCAGCGGTAAGGGAAGCGGGAGAGCAACGGGCCGGGAAGCGGGGGAGCAACGGGTAGGGAAGTGGGGGAGCAACGGGTAGGGAAGCGGGGGAGCAACGGGTAGGGAAGCGGGGGACAGCGGGCAGGGAATGTGGGGTGAGAAGCGGGCAGGGACAGTGGAGGGGGGAGCAGCTGGCAGGGAAGCGGGGGAGCTGCGGGCAGGGAGGCGGGGGAGTGGCGGGCAGGGGAGCAGGGGAGCGGCGGGCAGTGGAAGTGGGAAAAAATAGAGGCAAGGGGGGGGGATACAGCGTCAAGGGGGAAAAGCAGGAGCAAGGAAGGACTGGCGAGCTGGGGAGAGGGGGAAATGGCAAGCTGGGAAGAGGGGGAAATGGCAAGCTGGGGAGAGGGGGAAATGGCTAGCTGGGAAGAGGGGGAAATGGCAAGCTGGGGAGAGTGGCAGTCTGGGCTGAGGGGGAAATGGCGAGCTGGGGAGAGTGGGGAATGGCGGGCTGGGCAGAGGGGGAAGTGGCGAAGTAGACAGAGGAGGGAACGGCTAGCAGTGGGCAAGGGGAGAAAGGCAGCGGGCAATCGGGGAGAAACAGTGGGCAATGGGGGGGGATAGTGGGCAAGGGGGAAGGGAGGGGAAACAGGGGGGAAGGAGAAGAAAGCAGGATAGAATGCGAGGGGGAAACAATGGGGGACAGTAGGGGAGAACGGGAGGGGATACGAGTGGGGGAACCAGGGGGGGAAGGGAGGGATGAACACGAAGAAAATGGGGGAATGTGGGGGGGGAAGGGGGCAATCAAAGGAGAGGGTCAGGAGTGGAGAGAGGACCGAAGGATGGGTGGGACCAAATGGGCCGCAAAACGGGCAGGGGGGAAAAAGCAGCGGGCAAGGGGGGGAATAGCAGCGGGCAAGGGGGGAGAAGCAGCGGACCAGGGGAAAAACAGCAGGCATGGACGAATAACAGCGGGCAAGGGGGGGGGAAAGCAGGGGCAAGGGAGGGTAAAGCAACAGGCAAGGGGGGAGAAGCAGCGAGCAAGGGGGGAAGAGGAGCGGCAAGGGGGGGAAAAGCAGCGGGCAAGGGTGGGAAAGGCAACGGGCAAGGGGGGGGAAAGCAGCGGGCAGAGGGGGGAACAGCAGCGGGCAGGGCAGGGAAAAAGCAGTGGGCGAGGGGTGGGGGAAGCAGCGGCAAAGGGGGGGAAAAAACAGCGACAAGGGGTGAAAAGCGGCGGGCAAAGAGGAGAACAGCAGCTGGCAGGGAAGCGGGGGAGCTGCGGGCAGGAAAGAAAGGAGGGGGAACGGCCGGAAGGGAAGAGGGTGAAAACAGCGACAAGGGGTGAAAAACGGCGGGCAAAGAGGAGAAAAGCAGCGGCAGGGGGGGGAAAGCAGCGGCAAGGGGCGAAAAGCGGTGGCAAGTGGGGAAAAGCGGCGGGCAAGGAGGGGCGGGGGAAAAGAAGCGGGCACAGTGGGGAAAAGCCGCGGGCGAAGGGGGGAAAAACAGCCGCCAAGGGGAGGAAAGGCAGCGGCCAGGGAGGAAAAAGCAGCAGCAAGGGGGGGAAACAGCAGCGGGCAAGTGGGGGAAAAGCAGGGGGGAAGTGGGGGAAGGCAGCGGGGAAAAGTTGCAGTGGGCAGCAAGGAGAAAAATAGAGGGCAAGGGGGGGAACAGCGGTGGGCCAGGGGAGGAAGCAGTGGGCACGGGGGGGGGAATCAGTGGGAAAGGAGGGGAAAAGCAGTGGGCACGGGGGGAAGATGAGTGGGCCAGGGGGGAAAATCACGGGGCACGTAGGGACAAGCCGTGGGCAAGGAGAGAAAAAGGGTTGGCAAGGGGGGACGAGCAGTGGGCAAAGAGGGGAACACCAGAGGGCCAGGGGGGGGAAAGGTGGTGGGCACGGGGGGTGGGATGGGGGAAACAGGGGGCAGGCAACGGGGGAACAGTGGGGGAGATAGCAGAGAACGGGGGGGAGGGGTGGGGGAGACAGGGAGATACTAGGGGGAAACTGGAGGGAGTGTAGGGGGAAGCATGGCGGGGAAGGAGGGGGGACCAGGGAGGGAGTAGGGGAAGCCAGGACGAGAAGTGCGGGGGAGCAGGCAGGAAGGTAGGGGGGACGGCGAGCTGGGAAGGAAAGAGCGGGGGGCGGGGAGGTCTGGGACAGCGGGTGGGCGATTGGGGAGAACAGCGGGCAGGGGAGTGCGGGACGGCGGGCAGATAACGGGGGAACAGCGGGCAGGGAAGCGGGGGAGCAGCGGGCAGGGAAGCGGGGGAGCAGCGGGCAGGGGAGCGGGGGAGCAGCGGGCAGGGAAGCGGGGGAGCAGCGGGCAGGGGAGCAGGGAAGAGCAGCGGCTAGGGGGGGGAAAGGTAGCGGCAAGGGGGGAAAAGCAGCAGCAGAGGGGGGAAATGTGGTGGCACAGGGGGGGGGGGGAAACGCAGCGGCAAGAAGGGGAAAGGGGTTTAGGGGAAGAGGGGAAGAGGGGACGGCGAGCAAGGGACGAGGGAACAGCGAGCAGGGGAAGAGGGGACCCAGAGCATGGGCAGGAAATGAGTGCCGTGCTGGGCGGCGGGTTGGGACGTGGGGGAGCAGCGGGCAGGGAAGTGAGAGGCGGCGGCCACGGGATTGGGGGGAACGGTGGGCAGGGCAGAGGGGCAAACGGCGAGCTGTGGGGGAGGGGGAAGCGGCGAGTTGGACAGAGGGCGAGGTGGCGTGCAGGGGAGAGGGGGAAATTTCGAGCTGGGGAAAGGGGAAAGCAGCAAGCTAGACAGGGGGGGAAATGGCGAGCAGGGGCAGAGGGGATGTTGAGCAGGGAAAGGGGGGGACGGCGAGCAGGGTCGAAGGGGACGTCAAGCAGGGAGATGGGGGACAGCGATCAGGGAAAACAGGGAGGGCGGGCAGGAAATGAAGAGGGAGGGCGAGGTGGGGGGGTAGGGGACGGCGAGCAGGGAAGGGAAGGGAGGGACGGCAAGCAGGGGAGGGAAGGGAGTGACGGCGTGCTGCGAGAGAGGGGTGACGCGCGAGCAGAGACGTGGGAAACGGCTGGAGGAACGGAGGAAAAACAGCAGGCATGGAAGGAGGTGAACGGCGGGCTAGGAGATGGTAACCGCGCTGTCAAACTCAGCTGTGGTTCTCACCTAGTTTCGCGCGGTAACGACTTATGGGGGACGGCGCGCCAGGAAATAGAGGAAGGGTGCGCGGTGGCAGAGGGGAGTAAGGCGCGCTGGAAGAGGAAATCGCGCTGGAAGAGTGAAGGGCACGATAGGGGGCGTGGGTTCTTACCTAATGTCGAGCGCTTAGCGGGGGAGAAAAGGGCATCGTGAAAAACGATGCCGTGTAGAGAGACTATTTTAGGGTTTGGTGGCGTGGCGCGGTTCTAAGCTTTAGAAACTCGAAAGCTAAGAGATGCGCGACGCGGCAGTCTAGGAGAGAGAGAGGGATCGAGAGTGGGAGGCGATCGAGAGTGACGGGGGACTTAGCCGGGTTGCGATGGCGAGATCGACGGGGGTGGCGAAAAATTGCTCGACACCGCAGGGTTTTGTTCGCCGCCGCTTCCGTCGCACCCGCTCCTAGCCGTTGCCCAAACCACTCCTGTTACACCTCTGATACAAACACTTATAACAGCTTATGAAACAGTAACGTGAACAGTAGCGTCTAGAAGGCTCCTTGGGAAGATAGTCAAATGCCGAAAATCTCATGTTGGGCTTTACAATTGCTATATGACTTGTAACACTCGTCGTTATTAATGAGAACATTGCTCTCTCCCACTGGCGCTTAGCTTCGGAGTTCTTATGGGATCCGGCGTAGTAGCTAATGTATGATCGTACCACGCTGCTTAGGTTGGTCGCTCACTACCGGATGGCCCCAGAGCTACACTGCCCTTCATTATAGTTACATCGCCCCGGCACGAGCTAAAAGGGGTCCTCTGTCCGCCGGCACCCCCCGGAACGACACTCCGATGGTTTTGAGGGCTCCTCCGTGGCCCGACTCCCCTCGGAATGGTGTGTTTTGGGTTTTTTTGGGTTGCGGAGCAACCTATTGCGATCGATTGTAAAGATATTTTTTTTCAAGTTTGTGATTTGGAAAAACTATACAAAAATAACATTACTTAATACATTATTCAATACCTAAATATAAAACGTTTGCATTGTTTTTTTAATTTCCGTGGCGTATTTTTGTCATTGACAAAAATAGGCTATCGCTTCCCCAGCTAAGTGGGGGAAGTTGAAAGCCTATTATCTCGACAACTCTCCTTGGGATACCGTAATCACCCGGATAGACGCCCCTATGGGCGTTTATAGGACTGGTTTTTAATCAAGGGGGGGCGTTTAATTGAATAAAAAATATACGCCCATGGGCGTTTATAACGAATTTTACAGAATATTTTTTAAAAAATGGAAAACTGTAGGTCTTGATGTTTGTAGGCTATTGGGCGTGGTTCCAGAGGGGACACGCTGAGAACAGGCACGGAAACTAGGCTTGAATGTGCGCCCAGCACAGCAAGGCATGAAAGTTGCCATGCGGCCCTATCACAAGCAATCCTGGTGCCGTGCTGTGCCAGCACACATGGTTCGGTGGTGTTGGGGACCACGTTCCTGCAACATCCGCACCAGGCCACGTGGCTTGGGGTACCAGGAATCTGGACAGGAATCTTGCAGAAAATATTCCTTCCTCCACCCCTTTCATCGACGAGGAATCTGACCCCGACGAGGAACCCAAGCCGCCTTCCAGGAGAGGGTACCTCGTCGAGGGGTTCAGTATTTCATTTCCTATCGATGTGAACGCTGAAGCAGCACCAGCTCCCCTTGCGGGAGCTATGGCTGGCTTTCCCATGTCTGGCATTTCGATCCTTTTTGGTAGACCAGGCGAGCCCACGCGCATTAGAGCAGAGCATCGTCCAGCTCCTCCCGCACCTCCCGCTCCTCCGGCTCATCCGGCTCCCCCTGCCCCTCCTGCTCCGCCGGCTCCTCCCACTCCTCCTGCCCCGCCAGCGCCACCCGCTCCTCCGTACCTGTACGGACTGCCAGTCCTGACTCTGCTGCTGTCGGGCGAGAAGATTCCGCAAGACGACATCAATGCACATCCAAAGCCTAACGCTAGCTCTTCCGCTGCGCCACCTGCTGCTCGTGATTGGGGGATTCCGCACGGCGATGAGTGGCCCGAGCACGACGTGGATGCTGATGATGGAGCCGAGTACTGGTCTCGGGATGGTCTTCCTGAGAAGCTCCCTGTGCCGTCGTTTCCCGAGGGCAGAAAACCGCCACATCCTTCTTCTGTGAATCGAGATGCCTGCCCCCCATCCCCCAGGAATCGGATGAACGGGAGGAAGCGAAAGTCCTACACGGCGAAGGAGAAGCTTTTTTGGCTGGACCGACTGAAAGAGGTAAAGAAGAAGAATGAAGTCGCACGACAGTCTGGAATCTCGCGCCGCCGCATCAACGACTGGTCGAAGCACGAGGAGGAGCTGAGAGCTGCCCACGGCTGCCGTAAGAGGCTGCATGGGCAGGGGAGGTCTTCTTGGTACGCCGATATGGAGACGCAGGTGTATTCGAAGCTTCTCGCCGCGCGCGCTGTGGGAACTCCGGTCCCGGTGTCAAGGCTGCAGAAGTGGTCACGGGAGTTAATGAAGGTTCTTCACCCCGACGTTAAATGGCAGGGCTCCTACCGCTGGACCGAACGATTCCGGTCAAGGTGGAATCTGTCGGTTCGTGCCAAGACGTAAGTCGGTCAGAAAATGACCGATAGTAAGTACACCGTCATTGCATCCGTTTCTGTCTATTCTTTCCGCTTATGTACGTACTCTCTTATTCGAGTTCACACTGTCGCTCCATACGAATGTTGTACTAAGTTGTGTTTTTTTCGAATTCCCATACTGCCCTCCCGCAGGTTGCTCGGCAGAGGTCGAAAACTTCTGGAGATTCTGCAGGGAGGTCCGGAGGATGTACGGCATTGAAGAGCGCTGGATAATCAACGCCGACCAAACTCCACTGTGGTTGGAGATGCCGGCTGACCGCACCGTCGAGCAGGTCGGCGTCAACTCCGTCCCTATCCGCTCCGCCGGCTACCAGAAGGAGCGAGTCACTGTTATGCTCGCGTGCACGGCAGGGGGAGAAGCTGAAGCCGTGGGTCTACTTCAAGAGGAAGACCGTCCCTCGAGGGGATTTCCCCGCTGGTATGTTTTGGTTTCGCAGCTTTTGTGTGTGAGTGTGTTTTTTGTTTCCTTGTTCTTCAATCGCGTTAACCAAGCTTATACTCTGTCTTTATGCAGATGTCGTCGTTGCGGCACAGCCCAACGGCTGGATGGATGCGGACGGTGTGAAGACCTGGCTAGAAAACGCCGTCGAGCCCTTCATCCGCCCAAGATTTGGTTTGCGTGCGCGCTCTGCCCTACTGATTCTTGACTCCTACCGTGGTCACCTGACGCCTGAAGTGAAGGAATGCTACGGGAAGCTTGCTGTCGTCCCCGGAGTCATCCCCGCGGGCTGCACTTCCGTCGTGCAGCCCCTGGACGTATGCGTCAACCGAGCTTTCAAGGCTCGGGTGAGGCAATACTACCAGGAGTGGTTTGACTCCGTGGGGATGTATTCCAAGACCGCTAAGGGTGAGTATCTTGTGGCTTGTTTTTAACAGTTTGTTTTTTGTAAACATGGTTCTAACTGAGTGGTTACTCATGTTTGCTGGCGCAGGAAACCTCAAGAAGCCTCCACCGGAGGAGATCCTGAAGTGGATCTCCAAGGCGTGGAGGGCCATCCCTGCCACCCTCATTCAGAGGGCTTTCAAGACGTGTGGCATTAGCAACTCGCTCGACGGCAGTGAAGACTATCTGACCCTCCAGCACATGCGCAACAAGCGAGAGGCAGAGGTGGATGTTGATGACGAGGTCGGGGCGGATGGCTTCTCTGGAGACAACTCGGTAGGCTCTGAAGGTGGGGCTGCAGAGGATGAGGAGGAGGAGGAGGAGGAGGAGGAGGAGGAGGAGGAGGTGGAGGATGAGGAGAATGAGGAGGATGAGGAGGAAGGGGAGGAGGAGTAGGAGTAGACTAGGAGTAGGTGTAATGTGCGATAACCAATGCTAGCCTGAAAGTGTTGCATATACCAGGTTAAGGTTTGAATAGGATGACTTCTAACTGTCTAAAAAATTATGTTTTTAGTGCATTTTGCCTAACTTGGCTAGTTCCTTCAAATGCTGTTTCAAAAGAGGGGGGGGCGTATAGGGATTTGATCCAGAGCAGAGAGGAGGGGCGTGTAATCGAATAATGCTTATAAGTCCCAATGCACGAGTTAAAGCCCATGGGACTAATCCTACGGAGGGGCGTCTATCCGGGTGATTACGGTAATACATTTCATGATAGCAAGGAAAATATATTGCACTTATCATCTACTGCACTTTCATTATTAACTTTGATTACACACAAGTTCACGTACTCAGGTTATTCAACCTTGACCTTTACATTTTACAAGACTTCCGCTGTCTTACTAGTCTACCTTTCCAGCAAAGATCCTGGACCAACACTTGAGGATTTGCCAAGTGTTCGTGTTTATAGTTTTATACTTAGTCTACTACAACACCAGACGATTTACTTCATGGTATGAAAGCTATCTGGAATTAAGACTACCGTCAACTATGACTGGTTCATCACCAGCACCATCTGCTGGATCAGTTACTGGGACTACTAGAGCACATGCCTCCACTACCGTCGCTGGTCTCTCAGCCTCTAGGCACGTTCCACCAGCCTATGCTAATATCGGTATGTAGAATCCGCCTTCTGTAAATACTCCAGGTGCTCCATCGACTGCACCTGCAACACAACAACAACAATCACAGACAACAACACATCAACAAGCGTCAGTACAGTCACCAGTTTCAGCGCAATCGATTTCGTCTGCGTTTAGTGGAATGAGTCTTGACGGCTCAAGTTACATGCGTGGAGCTACAGCTCTAAGTACTGGTTCGTTCGCTTTCTCACCTTTCGTACAGCAGCCGCATTCGCAGCAGTTTCAGCATCCTTTTTATATCTTCGGTGGTTCCCCTGCTCAGCAACAACAGCAGCAGTATCAGCAACCACAGCTAGTAGAGCAACAGCAACATCAGCAGCAACATCAGCAACAACAACAGCAACAACAGCAACAGCAACAACAGCAACAGCAACAATAGCAACAGCCAGGCATCGTTTTTCAGCCTCCAAATTTACTTAACAATACACAGATCAAGACAACCGTACCTTTCAATGGTGTTGACTTCTACTCCTGGAGCTTTGAGTTTGAACTTTTGGCGCAGTCCGCTGGGTTATGGCTATTCTTGACTGGCGAATTTACGTATCCTGTCGTGGGAACACAACTGGAGCAGCAAAGTTTTTTACACGCCTCTCTCGGGGCGTATACAGTTCTTGTATGGAACTTGTCGCCGAAGGAGCAGCTCAACGTTCGATCATTTCATTCAAGTTTCACACCAGCCGAAACTGCATGGAACCATCTCAAAGGGGTATACATGGCAAAGGATACGATAACAGTAAGTAAAATACTTTCGCAGTTAACAAGTGTGCAGATGATGACAAATGAAAACGTCATGGATTACGTCAACCGCGTCCGTACACTACGCGATCAACTGGAGAAAAGTGGGGGATACTTCCCTCATGAGATGTATCTCACGGTACTTCTGGCTAGCCTTGGACCCGAATGGCAACAGACGCGCGCCTTTCTGCGCATGAATCCGAACCTCTCCGAAGCTGAAATTTCG